AGCTGAGGTTGGTTTAATCTCATGAACAACCAACTTCAAAGAGCCTCTTCCCCCCTTTCTAACTAACACATTTTGTTTCAAGTTTCAACTGCTTCCTCATATCTCTCCCTGTTTTCGCCTTCCGTCTCACAGACACCACAAAGTCTCATACGCACCAGTCTATTCCTTTTCTTGCGTGCCAATTTCGGTCTCCCTGTACACCCGTTTGCGATCCGCGTCCCGGAAGGATCCTCCTTGCAATTACTTCAAGCTCCTGTCGCAGGGAACGTAACTAGACGACGACAAACGGTTCCAGCGCCCAGCCAACAATACTTCCAACACACTTCTTTGTGAGTCTCATATAGCACACTCTGATTTGTTGGCGTCGTGTCACGTATTGTGCTACTCAACACGGATACCGTACGCGACGCAATCACGGCTTCGACGGAAGGCAGCGTCCATCACGCCTCTAGACGTCCCATCGATCACCTTCACCACTTGTATCTCGAGAAGCATTGCTCGACTCATTATCGGCAAAGACCAAGTACCCTCGATTGGAACCGGCCCTTTACCACACGGGCCAAGGATCCATTATCCAAAGATTTCGTCATCCGAAATCAGACTGCTCCGCCGATCTTTTGAGAGACGGAACCACCGCCCTTTCTCATGTCTCATTGGATCATCATCAGTCTTTAATGTTTGCCCTGTACTACTGTAGTGACACCAAGCCCTTGATATTCCTTGATACCCACTCATCATGGGAGAGGCCGATCGTAGTCACGCCCCTCTCTCCATAGACCCCATCACTGAGGCGGAGGAGACTCACCTGCTCGGCTCGGAAAGACAGGATGGCAAGTCTTCGTCTTCATCTCCAGACAACTTTCTTTCATCCTCAACTCCCCGAAAGAATGGCTATGAACCAATGACACCTAGTGTCGACATGGACCTTTCGACCCTCAACGGCGCCGCACATAACCAGAGCACCGCCCCATCTCAACCTGACAAGTCAAGCTTCTCCGGGAGAGACCCCTTTGGCATCTCAGTGGAGGGATCTATTAACCAAGTCTCCTTCGTACGTGTCCCCGTCGGTTCGAAAAGTAGCTCGCCCGCCACACCTCGTTCCAATAAAGGCCTTCTGGGCACACCAAAGCCTGGACCTGCTTCACCACGAACAACAGAACGCCGCGCCGCACCTTTATCACCCGAATCAGAACAGGACACCATCTCGCCGCTGCAGTCACCTTGGTCGTCACCAGACGGGAAACGTAGAGCAACTTCAAAGGGCAAAATCTCAATGGCGTGGGACGATCCGCCAAAGTCCTCAAAGCCATGGCCTCTCATAGAGGCGGAGGAGATGGGGGACCTAGGTCAAGCAACCCCAGGCAAAGATGAGAGTCAGCAGCAGGTCAGACCGCTGCAGTCGACGTCTGGTCAAAGTTCGACGAGACGGGATGAGAATTCTCTTGAAGAGCCTGATCCAATGGACGACGAGGAGGCCTTGTATAAGAGATTCAGTAAGCCGTGCCCCGTATATCTGGCCTATGATGAGTGACTACTAATACGCACTCGAGGCCGTCCTCCGACTTACTGTGACTCGCGGAACGATGTGCACAGGAAGCAGCACAACTGGCTATCGATATCCATCTTGATCCTGTCGTTCTACTCCACAGGACTGAGCTGCCTCTGGCTCGTTGTGGCTATTGTACAGCCACGCTGGGGTCCTCAAATCTCATCAAGCGGTGGCATCCTCCCGTCGACAGCGTCTTTGGTATGCGCAATGTTTGCCAAGACGATTGAAATATCGTTCGTGACTGTGTTTGTCACCTTTATCGGCCAGGTATTGACACGTCGCGCATTTGTGAGGAGGTCAGAGGGCATGACCTTGGCTGAGATGACCATGAGGAATTGGGTTATTGTGAGTCAAGGTTGAATGGTATTGTTGTAATAGGTCTAACACTTGGTAGCAACCTGGGTTTCTTATCACGCACTGGGAGACGTTACCGTACGCTGGCATGACCATTCTCGGAGTGGTGTCACTTGTTGCCACCATTGCTTCAACGTTTTACACGACTGCGTCAGACGCCATGATCACACCGAAGCTTAAATTTGGCGACTGGGAGACTAAGACATTGAGCGGCTATGTTTTGGCATCCTACATGAATCCGCCTTTTGCGCGTGAAACCTGCCCGACACCATTACGAGATAGTGACCCATTGGGTGTTGATGTTGCTGGAAATGCGTGCCTAGAAGTGCAATACGCCGGTCAATGTACGTAAAGGTCCTTCAAATGAAGGCTTCCAGTTTGAGTGATGCTGACAATTTGTGTGAAGCATATCGCAATTTGGTCTCGTTCTTAGGTGATTGGGAGTCCATTAATCGCAACGGAACAAGCGATGCCGTTGATGTTCAACACCGCCCTGTAGGAACGGCTTTGTTGTACGACAACACAACGCTCACCTCTGCTTGGATTGAGACGACCTATAGCAACACGACTGAGCAATACGAGCGCTTCAATAGGATAATCAACAATGTGACGCTCGCCATTCCCCATCCGAGTGTCTACGATGCAGCAACAAATCCAGTCAACAAGATTCTCCAGCCAAATGACTTGTCGGGTGTAGGAGAGTACGGCATCAGAGCGAGTGTGGTCTCGCCCGCACTGAACGTCATGTGTGTCAACATGTCTCCAGAGGACCTGGAGCCACTGGTCTACACAGAGTGGCCAATAGGGAAGGTTTTGTACGACAACACGACAGTTCCAGGACAGAGAACCGGGAAATTGGATTGGGAGAAATATGTTCCCGGCGCTTCGGAAACGGAGTGGCTAAACCGAACGTCGGTGGATGAGCTCTTTCGCTGGGGCCAAGACTATGAGCGACGGCCGCCGGTGTTCCCGCTTGTAAGTGATATTGATGAGCAAATGGAAAGAAGAAAAGGCTGACCAGCAACCGACAGTACCCTGCGGACTACAACATGATAACCAACACGTCGGTGGAGAGCGACGCCATTTACATCCTCACAAAGTCGGCGTCCGTCACAGATTATACCCTTTGTGAGATGAGATCATGGGTGTCACCCAACTGCTCAACCCACTTCAACATCTCGGGCACAGCAGGAGCGCACATGCAAGCACACTGCGATGACCCCGATGATACAGACAGCTACACCAACGTCCATACCGAAGTCACGGAATCTACCCCCGTGACAGACTGGAGGGCAAGGAATCCCCAACACCCCCTTTTCATTGTTACTTACTTACGTTTGTTTCTGTGTAGAACATTGCGGATCAATGGCGTCTGTCAATGGACATCAACGGCGGTGCCCAAAACAACAACGCCTCCAACGCCCGCATCCTCACCCAATTCGTCCTCCAAGAGCCGCAGCTCAACCCCCTCCTCCCCTCTATAGCCGAAGCCCTCGCCGTCTACGCCTCGTCAACCCTCATCATCGGCGGTCTCAACACCCCCTTTGAACACTACTGGCGCCACGAAAAGATGCAGCTCGGCGCGCCGGGCAGCCTAGACCCCTTCAACGCCTCGATCCGCACGCAGGAGTACACGTCGGGCCACAGCGCCGAGTGGCAAAAGTGCTTCTACCTCGTCCTCGCTCTCGTCTTCGTCATCAACGTCATCTGCCTCGCCTACCTCCTCTCCCGGTCCGGCCTGGTGACGGACTTTACTGAGCCGCAGAATCTGTTTGCGCTGGCTGTCAACTCGCCGCCGAGCGAGCAGCTCAAGGGCAGCTGCGGTGGCGGGCCGGTGAAGAGGGATCTGGTTGTGCCGTGGCGGGTTGGGTACACGAGCGGTGCGAATCACTACTTTTTCGAAGAGGCTAACGACAGGCCGTGGCGTGGCAAGTATTCCAAGCAGGACTTGTCTGCTGACACGGGGTACAACGGACAGGAGCGGAGCAGTTATAAGAGGCTGAGCACGAGGAATACATGGTTCTGAGCGGAGGTTTGCTGGCTGTGCTGGCTCTAATGATGTGTCTTGGCATATGGTCTTTTGAATACGAGTAAAGTAAAGAGGCTGGAGGTAATGTGTTTTCATGTAGGATACCTTGAGTTAGAGAGTGGCAGCCTAGGTAGACGGGCAATTGTTCTTTGCTACCTTGTGGGAGTTTCAAATGATTGAGAGGAGCAGATAATCGCCACCTGAGCATCCGTATGGCAATATCGTCTCTCGTTCATTGAGGGATATTGTACACCGTACCGAAATAGGACTCTGCAACTCGGTCGTCACAACTTATTATTTCCAGTGAGTCTTGGCGGTTTGGTAATTACCTTCAGAGCCTGTGCTCATCGCCCCTCCACACAACTCCGTAGTACTCAACTTGGAGTTTTAGAGTCTCAGTCGTTGGAGATTTGCGTACTTGGTAGACTGGAGCTGTCACCTCCCGGCATGAAGCGCAAATTTGGGGGGCATTAATCGCACGCGCCCACCGGGGCCGACAAGGTGGTTCCCGGCAATCGACGGCGTTCGAGAAAAGGAGGCTGTGCAAAACGTCCTCCCAAACTTGAAGTGAAGGTTTTCCTCCACCAGTCATGAGTTGGCCAACTGGCATGTCTCGGCGAAGAAATGCCTTACCACCCGTCCGTCCCCCCTTTCATTTGCTACCTTATGTAGAGTCTATGCGATAGTTAGTGCAGAGAACTCTCAGAGATTCCTTGGTTCTGTGATGATCACTAGCAGCCTCGCCGCCCATCCTGTTCCTCACGCGGGACTGGTGATTGTGGCTTATCCTCAGTGCCTCGCCTTTTCATCTCCACGCCAAGCATTCTCGATCAATCAAAACCACGGACATCAACGGGGAAGGAAGAAGCTAACGAAATCACACAGCAATGCTTGGGGTAGGCGCCAAACTCTAAAAAAGATTGCACACTACCTTACCTACAGCAAGCACAGCACTGAGCGCGCAGAGCAGGGCACGGTACTTCGTACAGAGAAACCACAGGGCAACGAAGAAGGAACATATCGAACAAATAATCCTTCGACGCTTGCAGCGGCATCTGTGCGAATCGAGCAACAGCGGTCACCACGTTGGGTTGAGTTGCCTTCTGTTTTGATTTCTTGGCATCAAGCATCGCCCGTGGCTTCTCTCTTTACAATCATCACCTTGACACCTACCTTAGTACTTACTACTCGGTCAGCAAGTAAGGTACGGATACATGTACGGATACTAAAGGCATCTGAGGTTATCCACCAATTTGCCTCTCGCCTCGCTTCCCTTTCCTATCCACAATTATTTCGTCGCTGCCAAGTACGGATATCTCACCCTGCAGCTGGCTGTAGATCCCTCCTGCAACAGCTGCATCACCTACCTCATCCGTTCTTTCTGCTATCTGCGAATATTCGTCCTTACTTCACACGCGCAGAGGAGACTTGGTTGCATCTCGTGCACCGCCCACCGCATCAACTGTCCACTCTTCCCATCGGTCGGCCCTTGGTCTTGGCATCCACATAGCGACATTGGCATCCCATCACACTCAATCAGCCCGACGTTGCGAGGCAGTCTACCATTCCAGATTTATACCACTCGGCTCGGCATCTCGCCCGCACCCAAACAACAAAGGAGGTCCAAGAGCCTTGTTCAATTGAATCATCCATACCACACGATTGCTTGCCCCAATCTTGTACGGATAGGTACCTCCAGGGAACAGAAAAACGAAGGGGATCAAAGGGGGGCCAAGCTAAAACGGACCGCCACCAGAGCAATTCCGCTTGCAACATTCCTTTCCCCGCCCAATCTCTCTCCCTTCATCGAGGAATGCCAGCCCTTCAACTTTGGCATCATCAACATCTGCGTCCCGGCTCTTGCGATTGAAGTCCAGCCGACCGGGGCCAACAGGAGCGTCCAACATCGACACGAGAAGCCTCGCTCCTCGCCTGGTATTCCCGAGCCCGAGAAAGAGGACAAACTCCGCCGGCAATAAAGCTTGAGTAAGCGAAAAATGCGTACGTATCTTCACCGCAATCTCTTCCTGGGCTTCTCGATCATGCGCTTCTCTCGGTACCTATTCTAACAGCTAGCCAGCTTACTACGCCAGAACCAAGGGCCGGACCCAGGAAATCCCGCCCGACGGCAGCCGGTCTCCCCTTCCGGCCTCCGGCGCCCGGTCGCCGCTGCCGCCCCGGACACCTCTCGGTGAGTCTCCGGCGTTCAACCTTACCCACTTGCCTAATCCTACTTTTTGGCATCTTCTCTTCTTCCCGGTCCTCCACTTATTTTGTCCATCTGCACCCACCCACTCCCGTTGATGTCCCCACCATCTCACCCACTGAATCAGTCCGTCATACAACCATTCTTGCATGCTTCAGCATTCATCTCTTCTATCTCTCGAGGACTATCATGAAATCCCATGCTGACAACAGACAATAGGCCGGCCTCCTTCCCGGTCATTACCAGACCTGAGTGCCGATGTGCGGAATGCTCTCTCAGCACCGAAGCACGACGATGTCAACTACCGCCACAGCTTCTGGACCCGCTGCCGCTGCTGCCGTCGTTCACGGAGCGCCATTGACCTGCTCCGTAGAGTTGTTCTCGTACCGCTAGCCGACTTGTTCTGGTTCCTCGAGGAAGCAGCTGAGTCTGTGCCGCCCGTCATCCCAGCGCTCATCGCTTGCATATTTCTGTTGGTGGCACTGCCGATGCTGATTGCGTGGGATTTCCTCTGAGCGAGCGGTCGTGTTTTCAAGTGAGGCAATCATCGATGCACACTTGGTTGTGTGTGCGTCTGCGACAGAAGATTCCAAGAGGGCTTTCAAATATTGCCTGGATTCGAGGGGTGGAGGTGGTAGACCGTATGTAACGATAGACTGTACTGACTGACTTTGCTCATCACCATGGCGCAACGACAAGCGAACGGATGAAACCCAGGACATACCCAAACTTTGTATTTCTACATTTCTCTACATAGATATAGCACAGTGAATACACCTCTGTGCTCGAAAATCATTATTCTCTGAGCTGGGAATTGTGTGAAAGAATATCGTGTCTCGTCAAATACTATCGTAACAGATGTCAAAGGGGTTAATCAAACCCCCAAACATGGGCATACTTGCCGCGTCCGCAGGCCAGTGCCAGATCCTCGCAATCTCCTCCATCAACTCCTTATTTGCCGCTTCTGCACTCCCAACGCCACCGCCAGCAGCAGCAGGAGAAGTAGTATTAGTTGTAGTCACGCCGCCGTCCTCCGCTCGAACACGACTCTCATACCAGTCCTTGATCCAGCTCATCTTGCCAATCAAGTCCTCGCACATGGAGCCCCTCGCATCGATCTCACTCCCTCCGTTGATATCATCCCAGTCGAATTCGAAGGTATTGTATGCCCTTCCACAACTACTACCCCCACCACCGACTCCCCGAACCCACGTCTCCTCCTTTAGCCGGCCCATCCTCTCCCTGCCCACCTGCAGCACCCGTCCCAGAAACGCAACTAAATTCTCGCAGATTTCTGCAAATTTGACGTCCGCACGGGCGCGGGGGAGGTCCCACCCCGGAACGCCGTGGAGGATCAGCAGGCGCGTGGTGACGGCGAGGACGCCTTGGGCTAGGCCCATGCCGACTGAGGTGCGGTAGACGTAGGCTTCTGGGGGTAGGGCGAGGGTTGCGGCGAAGTAGGCTTTTGCTTCGGAGAGGGCTGCTTGGAAGTAGGTTGTACGGTTGAGGGTGGCGGCGGCGGTGGTATTTTGGAAAGCTGCGGGGTATGGAGATGATGATGAGGAGGGGAAGGGGTGTTTTGTTGCTGGTTCGTAGAGTTGGACTAGGAGGGCTTTGTGTTGGAGGTTGAGGTATGCTGAGATTGAATGTCAGCTCTGGTTCCTTCCAATTTGGGAGAGGGGCTTCAAAGACATCATCATGGACTTTGAAAGAAGAGTAAGAGAAGGGAATGGCTTACCATAGTAAGGATCCCGCGGATCAAGACCCTCCAAGACGTCATCCACTTGCGCCCGGATCCTCCCCACCTCCTCCTCGAACCCGTCACCCATTCCCCTCCCCATTCCGCGTTGACGATTCATCACGGGACCGAACCCGTCAGTGAGGCGCGCAGAGACGGCGGCCATCTTGAACATCCTCGCCGCCATCCGGTCCTCCAGGCTCCCTGACGCCGCCAGGTTCTCGTAGCAGATGTCTAGATACCCGAGGCTCTGGCCCTGAGAAGACGAAGAATCTGAAAAAGGTGCACGTCCGCCGCCATGCGAGCTGAGACAGTGCAGGAGGGGATTCTGCTTGCGGGCGAACTGCGCGCAGTTGGACGAGACGACGCAAAAGAGGCCGAGAAAGGTGCGCTGCTCCTCGAGGGTGTGGTGCTCCGTCGCGCTGAGGGCCGCCTTGTTGGTGAAGCAGTCTTCTGGTTCTTGTTGTTGTTGGTGCTGCTGCTGCCACTGTTGTCGGTAGGGGTGCTGGTACGGGTGTTGTTGTTGGTGAGGACCTCCGGGGCGGCAGGGCGAAGGTTGGAGGAGGGAGCGCGGGGGTTTGGTGATGCCTAGGCTGTGGGCGTAGCCTAGGGCCGTGTAGACGAGGCGGGTGATTTGTTTGTCGAACCAGTATCTGCATTCTGCCCTGTTTCATGACGTACAATATCAGCGGGATGCTCCTTTCGAGGCTCTCCTCATACAACAAGATGCCAGTGGGGAACATCATATGTAAGTCGGGGAAGGTAAGGGACATACTCACCACAAGATAATGACCAACATCCCCTGCAACAAATCCAACCCGCCTTCCTCCTCGAGCATCATCCGCGCCCCCATCTCGGCCAACAGCTCGCGGTGCATCGCCTCGGCCCTCGTCTTCCCCGCCGGCGCGGCGGCGAGCATGACGGCGCGGAAGAGGAACGGTTTCTCGCGCGCGAGCCGCTGCGGGGACCCCGAGCCCGGGTCGACCGAGGGCCCGTCGACCTGGATGAAGGGAAAGTTGGGCACAAAGTTTGCGCGGAAGTCGGCGAGGACGTTGGCTGCTTGGGACCAGGTTAGGCCCAGGGGCGGTTTTGTCGTCGTCGATGTCGTTACGATCAAGGATGAGGAGGAAGGGGAGGAAGAAGAGGAGTGGGAGTAGGGGGGGAGGTTTTGGGATACGGGGCCTGGTAGGTGTCTTTGGATTAGGGGTGCTGGGTGGGAGTGTGAGTGTGAGTCTGGGTGAGAGGGAGGCGAGGAGGTTGAGGGGGTTGAGCCTGAGGTCTCTGCTGAGGGTGTCGAGGCTGCTGGGGACTTTTCTGGTGTTACGAGATGGGCTATTTGTTGTTCTAGTGTTGCGACGCGGCTGTGGTTGTTCATGTTAGTTGAGTTCTGAAGCCAGGGCCGTTGTTGTCTCGAGATGCCACTATTCCCATGGGCGCATCCGCACATAACACATGAATAGTTTGGCAAACAAAATTTGATGCCCACGAAGAATGATACTTACTTGACCAGAGGTTTGATCTGACGCGTCCTCCTGATACCCCTCGTCTTGGCTGAGCAGTCAATCTTGAGCCGCTCACATCTAAAACCCCGCCACTTCGTGTCAGTCCCAGTGCACAGGGTTTATGAACGGCAAATTCAATTCCCACAGATACTATGCCATGACTCTTCTTCGCCCTCTCGAGCCAGTGGGAGCACGTACCGGTCGCAGAGGTGCCGACGGGCGTTCTCCTCGCGGAAGTTACAGCGGGCTTTGGCCCGGGTGCACGGCGCGCATGCGCGGAGCCGGCGCGGGGGGCTGCCCGGCCTCGGAGGCGGTGGTTGTGGGTCCATTGCGAGGGTATCGTGGATTTCAACTACCACTTCTGGATATAGTTGGAGGTTGTGGTCTGATATGCCTTGCTTGGCTCGTATTGAATGATGGAGACTTGTGGCGGATGAATACGTTTGGAGACTGGAGCACTCTCTGCTCGAAACCGCGCAATAGGAACATGTGAATCCATTCAGCGGTAGGCGACTCGGGGACTATTAGAGCGAAGCGCATGACCCTATATACGACGCAGACATACCACTGACAAAACAGTGCTGAGGCTTCGACTACAGAGTGAGGTCGTCATCACGGATGAACTCCAGGCTCGTTAACCCGGTCCGGGATAAGAATTTAGTATCTCGGGTTTGTGGTTGCTAGTAAAGTGGTGGGCCTTCACGCGTCAGCACTAGCAGATCAAAACCCGGCGACCTGGCCCAGGTAAGCGATAGTTTCGGCTGGGAGAGCGTGTAAGCGCGACGCAAGTCCCAAAGATATAGCACCTAATACCTAACTAACCTGCCTCACCACCTACGAATGTGCCTCTGGAATGTCTCCGTACTAGTAGGTAAGCAATGAGCACCAAGACACAAAAGAGGCGTCTTGTCTCAAAAGTCCCACGTGTGGCTGCATGCATCAGGGACACGGCGCGATCGGTGCCAAGTCCTTTTTTCGGTCTGATTTCTTGCGACGGGGGTGTCTGCTCACCGAATTGAGAAAAAGGTTAGTCAGTCGCATGCTGATATCATGCCATCTGATGTCCGAGTTTTATCGCTTCCTTGCGCTGGTAAAGATGAAATAAACGGAATTGGGTCCGTTTCTCCCAAACGAAAAATGGAGATGAAGAGAAGGGCGGATTACAAGTATAACCAGACCCAATTTTCTGGGGCACTTACTAACAGAAGGCAAGGAAGGCCCGTGTTAGTCAAAGTAAGACCTTGAACAAACAATCCGGCAAATACACGAGATGTCAACAATGGCCGGGAGACGATTGAATTGCTTTGCGCAACATGAAATAGGTATCATTAAAATTGGTGTGAAATAGGTATCTGTGGCGTCGCGATTGACATACAGCCGCCTCCTGGCGCATTAACCCCCGTGTAGTCGTGATACTGCCATGTACAGCCCGGATGTCTTTTCTTCAGTACACGCCTTTCGTGAGACCCCAGTACTGCAGACTATGACGAAGTGTCGAGAATCGAAACCGGCGATCGGTAGGTAGTGAGTGATCCGTGTGGTGTGGGTGTGGTGTAAACATGATTGCTGTCGACAGATGGTATTGGCTCCTTCGCATGTAGCCAGTCGCGACTCTCTCGTCGAACTTCACCGTATCGTAGGCGGATCAGTGACATGAGAGTCGACTTGTTACTGGCTTCAAAGTGCGTTCAGCTTGGAGCTTGATTCATTACTTTCCCAGCTCCGCTCCCCTCTTTTCGACCCCTATAAGAGGTGATGAGGTCTTTCTTATGCTGCCTGGGACTCCTTGGCTTGTCTCTCTGCCTTGCGCCTCGCGAGGCACTTGGAGATCATGAGACCAGAGACACCAAGGGCGACAATGAAGATGATGCAGAAGACGACAACAACACCGGCCTCCTGTTGGGCCCAGTTCTGGCGCTTGGCGAGCTGGTGAACGGCGTCGCGAGCGACGAGGGTGTTGACGGCAGGCATTTTGACGGAAGGTGAGTTGAGTGAAGAGTCGGCTGTACGAGGAAGAAGAGACTGGTCAGCAAATTGGAGTAAGAGGATTGATAAGGCAAAGAATAGTAGCAAAAATCGAAAAGCCAAATAGTGAATAATGATGACGGGCGAGTGAGTTAATAAATATGAGAGAGGAAAGCTCGTGGCGACTGTTTGCGATGAGTGATGCTTTCCCAATGCGGTCAGGATCCGTAGAAAAACATCAGAGCTAGAGGTGAGGGAGCTTGTCCAATCGAGGCATTTTATGGAGACCACAGTCTGTTTTTGTTTTTTAGAGCCCTGTGAACTTGGATGCGCCCATCGTCATTCCCGGGGTATCCGGCGTTGGCGTCTAGAGATGATATCCACATGTTGTTTTTCTTCATGATGTGGTTGTCGGGTGTTGGGCGAAGCTCGTAGAGATTGTCGCAAAGACCAATTGACATTCCAGAACAATTTTTTGCAGCAGAATTGAGACTTGGAAAGAATGCGCATTGAGAGAAAGTTACTTTACCTTTGGTGAAGATGAGAGAGAGAGCTCAACGTCGGACGATGAGAGTGAGGTGGGGAAAAAGACCTGATGGCTCGATCGCAGCGACTAGGGGAGGCCGGCTAGAAGCGCAGTTTGTCAGCGTCGACTGTACGAAGCTTGGCTTGTAAAGCTGGAGCTCATAGAGAGGCCAAGCAGCGCGAGAGGAAATACCTTTGTGAGAAGAAGCGGGAATCAATTGGGGAAGGAATTGACTGATTATGGGATTGTCGAGTGATTGAGCTGGAGGAAGGATGAGAGAAGCAGGACGGCGAAGAGGAAGGTGAGGTAAGGTAAGTCGGGAAGGGAGGGGTTAATGAGGAGGGCGGGCGAGGAAGGGAATAGCTGCTCAAATAGTCGGCTGATTGGCAAGGCGAGCAATCAATAAGAAGGAAGACCCAATGGTGATGGGAAGGTATTTCCCATTGGATCTTAGCCAGGTATGTACCTCATTATCACCGCAAGGTAAGGCAGGCACTTGAGGTATCTGTAGGTAGCAGCTTGACGATGAAAGGCGACAAGAAAGTATCTTCTCAGGTCGCGGTACTTGGCGGTGTCATCAGGTCTGGGCACTCTTTGGTGGTGAACTGCCACCATTGGCATGTCGCGATCCGTACATTGATTGCTGTGTAGTGCCTTAGTGTGTAAGGAGTACTCGTGAGGTGGCATTGGCGGTCGCGGTTGCTCTGCTAGTGGCAGAGAGAACGGCGCCAAGCGAGCAACAGAAAAAGCTTGTCTCCATGGATGCCGGGAACACGGCAGGGTCATCACAGGCATCCCGGTGTGGGGAATCCACGCCTGATCGCTCGTGGCCCCCTGTCATCACCACTTACACTACTTGCCCGATACAGGGGAGTGAGTGTGTTGTGTGTGTGTGTCTGTAGCGCAACAGTTGCAGCCCATCTGTTCATCTGTTGGTGCTTTTCTGCTGTACGTCTGTCTCTACTGCTGCGGGAATTTCTCCATTTCTCGCTAGCATCAAGCTATCTGGCTGCTTTCCCGCTCATCTCTGACGTAGGGTAAGGTAAGGCATTCGCAAGTCACAACGCTATCCCAGATTCACGACTAAACAATAGTCCTGAGCCTAAGGTAGTGCTGCTGCGCACAGAGTCTGCCAGGCTGGGCGGACAATTGGATGACATGGATCATCTCATGGGGCCGGAGCCGGGATGAGGCCCTAGCACACCCTTCAAGTTCCGGTGGGTTCGCAGGGCCACCGGTTCGCCGACCTCCGCCGGGTTATTGGCTGCATCTGCTTTCCTACTGATTCCGCGCCCTTACGATATTGGCATACCTTGTGGCAGCAATACCAGGCAGGCAGACAGACTCTTGACTCCTTCAAGCTCATGGCTCTCTGTCTTCATCACTTGGACCCATCTGGCTCTGCTGCTTAGGTTAGTCGCTGCCGCCGCCGTCCCTTTATGACGATCATGGCAGTTGCGTACTAAGTTAATTCCATCCATAGTATTAGTCTGGCACTTGTCTTCCGCCCTCACCGATGTTTCCAGGTTCCATGGGGGCAACTGGGAGATTTCTCGGGAATGCCACAGCAGACGAACCGCCGTACCTGACCAACCAAAGGAATCCCCAGCCATGGTCGCTTCTGTCGACCGCTTATGCACTTAGTAACCGCCGTCACGTCCCATTTTTCTTTCCTGTTATTGCCTTGACTCTTGGTACCCTACGGGTAGGGAGTACGGCACTACGGGTACGGAGCACTGAGCACTGAGCAGTGTTGACAGCACTACTAAATGCTCGAAATTTGCGCACACCTTGGCAAATCACCTCGCCTTGACAATGACAAGCCTTGGCAGTATCGGTACCTGAGAATGGCTTCAACACCAAGACTCTTGGATGGGTGAGGCATATTTGCTAGACGGAGCTCCCTTTCTCAGGCTTGTAAGACTGCGCCCGGCCAAGCTGCTGCGGACAAGTTAGCAAAGGGTTGGCGACTTGGTCCAATGGAAGTCCATGACACTTTTTGAGTTGGGCCAAGAGATTGCCCGAATCGGTCATTTGACTGAGCCCCGGCCAAGCAAAGACGATCATCGCAGCACTGAGCACCTACGCGGGGCTGGTTCAATCCAGCACTGAGAAACATGAACAAACATGACCCATCACTCATCAGCAGGAGGCAAGTAGAGGTTTGCAGATGATGGACCCCCAATGTTCCTTTGTCCGCAACATCACGTCTCAGTCCTTGCACGGCAGGCAAAGCACCAACCCATCACCATCGGATCGGGCGTCGCGCCTAGTCAGGGCCGATGACTGCTCGTTCCGCGGCCCAGCCACGCCTCGATCCGCTGCTGCATCGTCCCGTCGAAAACCACTCACCTGATCAGTCATCCAACACCCATCTTTCCCGTCTTGGGACCTTCTCAATCCCTTTGATCCCGTTCGAAAGAGAAGCGACCGTTTCCTTGCAGCGTCACAGCGAGCCCACTGTGAACATCCTGATTTGATGACAAAAACCTCATAGCAAGCCCGCAACGTACTGCCAGAGCAGCCAGACTGCATCTCCATCGTAAGATAATCAAAGCGAAGCTCCGGCAGGTCAACAATCTGTTGCCACGGAGCTCCAAGGTGACAAGGCCCCATTTATTCACACCGGCCGGGCCTCTGCACTCAATGAGACACATGGGTAACCTAAGCATCCGTCCAGCCCGAATCCCACCCACCACCCCTTCCGCTGCCCCAGCGCCAGTTTCTTTCCTCACTCTTTCTTTTATCTTATTTTCAGTGGATGGATCCAATCTGGCGCTTGCTGCTTATCATCGAAAGAGCGGCCTCTTGTTCGGTGACTAGCATTTATGTCCGGCGTTCGCCCATCCCTGGCCGCTAGATGGTAACTCCCGTCGGCTCCTTGCTCGGTCGCCAGCCAGCTCAGTCATCCCGTTTACATTTCTCTCCACTGCCCGTCACTCCCGCTGTTGGGCTGGCCTGGGTTGCCTTATGTAATCTCTTCAGTCTGTCGACGATGGGTCAGATCATATGCTGACCCGCTGACCCGCTCATTCGGCACATGACGAAATGTTTATCCAAGCAAGCCGGCTCATCAGCATTTGAAGACTGGAGGTATCTATCGTGCTATCTTGTCTTAGGTAAGGTAATGGAGAACTGTAAGGTAGCGAGGAACTGAGGAGGTCATGCGCTGCAGATTATGACGGGCCGCGGGCGGAGACGCCTAGCATCGGTGGTCAAGCAACCAATCACCGCCAACTTCGACGTCCGGCCGAGGAGTTGCTTGCTCCGAATAGCACAGTCGGAAGCTGCCGCGTCGCAGCCGGGGTGCGAGTACATACGCTGACATGAATTGCGTCCAATATCAATCATCCTGAGAGTTGAAGGCGTCGTCAGCCACCAACGAGGCCAGCAGAACGGTGAATCATTTGCATTTTGGCCATCCTTTCAAAACCCAGAGTCAAGGTCTTTGACACGCTGGTGCTGTATTTCGCCAGCATCTCTTCAAATTACATCTTTACGCCCCCAATTTATTTCTCAAGCGGGAAATCCGTTTAGTTCCCCGCATCATGACGGTTCTCAGTCATCTAAAACGAGTCCATCGACACAATGTCGCAACTCTGCGTGGCTCCCCCGCCGCAGAGGTGTCTGGCGCCCTCGGTGACTTGGGGACTCTTCTTCCTCTGATGATTGCCCTTGCGGTCCAGCACTCCATTTATCTCGATAGCACCTTGGTGTTTTCAGGCATCTTCAATGTTGTTACCGGCGCCGTCTTTGGCATCCCACTTCCAGTCCAGCCGATGAAGGTGAGTGCTTAGATCTAAACAAGAGATTGTAATTGTGCGTTCATTACTGACAACTACGTCTAGGCCATCGCCGCGGCAGCCATCTCCCGGTCCGAATATGACGGCATCAAAACCGTCATGGCCGCGGGCCAGTGGGTCAGTCTGGCCGTCCTAGTCATGAGCCTCACCGGCCTACTACGCTGGGTCACGCGAAACGTGCCCGTCCCCGTCGTCAAAGGCATCCAGCTCGGTGCCGGTCTCTCCCTCGTCATGGCCGCCGGCTCCGGCCTCCTCCGGGACCTTCACTGGACCCATCCCGTCCTCGACAACAGGCTGTGGGCCCTGGCCGCCTTTCTCGTGCTCATCTTCACCCAGGGCCTGCCGCGTTTCCCCTACGCGCTGCACATTTTCATTCTGTCGCTCGTCTTCGCCTTCATCTCCATCATGACCTCGCACGACCACCCGTACACCTACCTGCCGGAGCCCAGCCTCTGGACCCCGCACTTCGTGCACTGGGAGTTCAACTGGTTCAAGTACAAGCCGCTGTCGATGGCCATCGGCCAGCTCCCGCTCACCACCCTGAACTCGGTCATCGCGGTGAGCGCCCTCGCGGCGGACCTGCTGCCGGACATGCCCACGCCGTCCGTGACCGCCATGGGCATCAGCGTCGGCGTGATGAACCTCGTCGGCACCTGGTGGGGTGCCATGCCGGTGTGCCACGGCGCGGGCGGGCTCGCGGCGCAATACCGTTTTGGAGCACGCAGCGGCGCGAGCGTCGTGATCCTCGGCCTCTTCAAGATCGTGCTGGGCCTCGTGTTTGGCAACTCCCTCATCGGCCTGCTCACGCACTACCCCAAGAGCCTGCTGGGCGTCATGGTCATCGCTGCCGGTCTCGAGCTCGCCAAGGTCGGGCACAGCTTGAATCACGGGGCTTCTGATCTGTGGGAGAGCTCTGCCGGCAACGAGGGCGGCGGCGTTGGGGGGCTCGTTAGGCAGCATCGCTCGCTTTCTGAAGAGGAGAGGGCGGAGAGGTGGACTGTTATGCTCATGACCACGGCTGGGCTCCTTGCGTTTAGGAATGATGCTATTGGCTTCATTGCGGGGATGTTGTGCTTCTGGGCGTATCGGGTTTCGGAGAGGACGCAGAAGTGGTGGGAATCCAGACGAGGCCGGTCTCTGTTTGGCGAGCGAGCGCCGCTTCTGAATTAGTTGTTTGAGGCGCGATATGCTACTTGTATAACTGCAACATCGGCGTGACTTTGAAGTCTGCCAGCATATATAAATGGCGAATACAATATAGGTGCATTTTGTCCGCTTTGTCCACCCAACGACGGCTCTCCATATACTGCAATGTCATTTTCAGGAGTGATGCTGCTTACCTTGGTCAAGTTCTGCATGTAATTAATCATGGGTATCGACAGTTCATCGATCTTACTTTGGCAGACGCCTGGTGAGTGATAGAAGGTCTCTGAATGAGCAAGAAGGAATAAGATCCGCAAGCCGAAACAGACATGCTTCCAAGCCATACTGGCTTGACATACGGCCTGTTTTCTTGTTCTTATTACATCAGGCACGTAGGTACTCTGAAAAGCTCGCCCTTTGTGAATATATCTGTACATGATTACCATTCAGTATTATATACTAGCATATGCGATATTTGGTCTGTATTTCACATCTCAGACTTGATATTCGCAGAATGCCTCCAAGGATCACGAATATCAGGAAGAGTCCAGTCTCCTTCACCGAGACGATCTGCTATTGGGGCTTGACCGAGACAAGTGGGCACCGAGGTCGGAAGAAGTGGGCGATCTACGCAGGGTGATGCTGCCTTTGCCTCTGCAAGTCTGCAAGGAATCGGATGAGGCTTTTTCTCGGACCCTGACCGAAGAGATGCATCGTGAACAGCCTTGCTGCTCACCGCAAGATCTAGGCCGAACCAAAGCGCTGAGTCCGACGGAAGGCTGAGGCATTGAAGGACGTACATGAATGCAATTGGCCGCATCAAAGATTCATGGTGAAGTAGCAGGATGAGTCATCGTCACTCGGGCCTTCAATGGGATTGGGGTGCAGTTGTTCCTTCCATTGAATTATGGTGGGAAGCTGCAGTTACGAATGTGACAGAGATGGAAGGAGCGTGCGACGGAAAGGAAGGCAGCGACAGAGACGCTGAAAAGGAAAGGACCTGGCTGGGCAGGGACGGGCTGAACTGGAGGCTCTTTCCTCCCATTGGAAGAAAAAAAAGGTACTTGGGTACTTGTACAGCGCGGGGAAGAAGGCTGGTGTGTTCAGTGTCCACGGTGAATCTCACCGACAGCCAATCAGAGACGCTTCCGTCGACCCTGTCAATCGCAGCCAGGACTGAATTGTTCAACGCCGATTTTTTTGGCATTCGCCCGTCTCGATCGCAGCCTTTCTCAGGTCCATACCTCGTCGCGCCTGACCAAATCGCCTCTCTTGGCTTGCCGACGGCGAAGGAGCTGATCTGTCCGACTACAGAGCAGCGATGACTTCGTCCAACGCCGGCCAAAATGGCCTGGCGCCCCTTCCGACCACGCCGCCGCCCAAGCACAAGTCGACGACACCAGGCCGAACTGACCACCCCGACGACAACGACAATAACAATCACATCGCCACGAACACTGCTGACCAGCAGCAACCATCGCGCACCGACGCATCTACAATCGTACACCCATCTATCGAAGACGCGTCCACCCAACAGCAAACCACCTCATTAGCCGTCGACACATTCATGGCCGATGCCGACGCCGGCAGCGCTCCACCCGCGACAATGTCGCAGCCGGCTTCAGCCGTGCAGGTTGACGCCGACCCTTTCGCCTCGTCCTTCCCACACACCCCGATGCCGAACATGGACCACGCCTACATGATGATGGCTCTGGCGCATATGGCTGGCAACCAAATGTCCAATCAAATATCACCGCCGCCGACCGTCACGCCAGCGCAGGTCACCCTCCCGAGCACCATGGGCAACGGCAACGATCCGCTCGTCGCTAGCACACATAACCTCGCCGCGGCGACACAGGGTCTCGAATCCTTTGCGCGTATAGAATTCGCCGACAGTGTCTTTCAGATGACCACGTACGCCGTCATTATCGGTCGCGATCAGAAGGCTCTAAATCAGGCGCGGAGAGACCAGAAGCGCGATGATGCCTATCGCAAGAAGGCGGAAGAGTATGAACGTGAGGGCCTTCCGCCTCCTTCCCCTGTCAGACATGGGCCGGGGAAGTTCAGCAAGTCATACGTCAGTGAAGAGGGAGGCATGCTGGGACCCGAGTCCGACAGTGAAGGGGAGGGGCGGCCAGCCAAGCGCCGCAAGACGACCAGCACCGGATCATCACAGAAGCAGGAAGAGGACGAGTCACAGGAGAAGCTCATCTCAAATCGGCAGTATGTCTCACATACACCGGGTGCTGCAGCCGTGGATCTGGCTTCATTACGGCCCTCTCCTCACCACGTCCCTTTTGTCGGCATCCACTCCCCCGGACCTGATATCGCCAGCAAGACCAAGGCAATTTCAAGAGAACATCTCAAGATCCAGTTCAATAAGAGAGAAGGGGTCTTTGAGGCTATTCCACTGCACAAGAATGGTTTCTTCATCGATGAAGTGCACCACAAGGAAGGTGTCGCCGTGCTCCGGAGTGGTGATCACCTGCAAATCAAGGACGTTGATTTTCGCTTCGTCATCAACGGTGTTCCAGAAGGCCGGACAGGTGCCGAAGAGTATGCAGAAGAGGAAGAGAAACTCAAGAAGAAGGCGACGGGTGGAAAGGAGATGAGTTTCGAGTTTGAAGCCTCACATGGCAACGGTCTTGACGACACAAGCGATTCTTCACTTAGCTCACCAGCGCCATCAGACGTAGAAATGTCCGATGTCGAAGCTGAAGAGGAGGAAGAAGTTGAGGCAGAAAGTAGCTCCAAGGCAGAGGCGGAAGCGGAAGCGAAGGCAGAAGCCGCCGCCGCCGCAGAAAAGGCGACAGCAGAGGCAGCAGCCGACGTTGCAGAAGCCGCGCAAACACAAACAGAGGCAGACGATGAGGCCGATGTTGAAGCCGATGCTGAAGCCGATGTTGACGCTGATGCCGATGCCGACGCTGATGCTGAAGGAGAGATGTCACTGGATTATGGAGAGGAAGCAGACGATATCCAACCTACCACAGAGGTCAAGCCAGAGGACCAAGAAATGGTGCATCTTCTAATGGGAGGTGCTCCATTAGGCTATCTAAACAAGAAGAGAGGACCTGGCCGGCCACCAAAGAACGGAATCATGTCCAAACGAGAGCAGCGTCTTCTCAAGAAGGCTCAGCAGGAGATGGCCAAGAAGACGATACCACAGCCTCCTCCTGGAGAGCCTCCCATCAAGCGGAAGGTCGGCCGTCCTAGGAAACACCCACTACCAGACGAAGGAGGAGATCGACCGGAGAAGCGCAAGTACAAGCCCCGGAAACCGAAGGGCGAAGACGGTCTTGAAGGATCAGATGCCGAAAGACGTGCCAGAGAGAAGAAGGAAAAGAAGGCTCGTCCCAAGTCGCCCCCGCTCGAACTCAAGATCGAGGACTACACGGAGGAGCAGCTGCAGAAGCCGAACAAGAACTACGGAGTGCTTATCGACGAGACCCTCACTGCGGCAGGGCCTGACGGTCTCACCCTCAAACAGATTTATAAGCGAATTACCCAGAGATACCCGTGGTTCTACTTCCACACGGAGACAAAGGGCTGGGAGTCAAGTGTACGGCATAACCTTATCGGGAACGAAGCTTTCAAGAAGGACGATACCACAGGCTTGTGGTCCAGGGTGCCCGGTGTCGAACTCGATGCCGGCAAGAAGCGCAAGGCGACGTCACCGGACCGTTCTATGAGTGCGGGCTATGGTCACTACAACCACCCAATGTACACTCAGTACGCCCAACAGCAGCAGAGCCACATGCCTCCTGGCTACCAGCATCTTCCTCATAACTACCACGCGCAAGCCTATGCAGGGCAGCAAGCGCAGACAGCAGCCAGAACGCCACAATACTCTCCCCCCGGCGTGGCACCGAACCCTGGTCAGCCCGCACCGCCAGTGACGTCTCAACCAGTGGCGCCAGTGACGCTCCCTGGATACGGGGCCGCTGCTGCGATTGCACGACCTCAAGGTGTCGCAGGGCAGCCTTCTACATACAGTTCACCGTATGCTTCAAGACCACCTCCAGCTCATCCCGCAGTCAAGACCGAAGAAGGCGCCGCCGCAACTTCGGCACCGCCCATCACACAACCTGCTCCAGCCGCCATCCCTGGAGCGCAACCACCCCCACCACAGATACCCGCTGCTGCCCCGCCGCAGCAAGCTCGACCTACGCCTACACCACCAGCGCAAGCCGAACCACGTCCCGTCATTCAGCCCAGGTTACTCTCAGCTGTTAATGGCCTCAAGAACGGTCTTATTGAGAACCTGAAGAAAGCCAAGAATCCAAAAGCAGAGGCCATCGTCATGTCTGCCCTCAACCGCTGCCTGGGACTCAAGAGTGCCGCTACAGAGAATCAGACCATGGAAGATATCTGTATGAAGGGAATACAGAAGCTCCTCGACGGTTTCTCGACCCGAAGCAACACTCCCGGATCAGGGGGCACACCCACTCCCACTGGGCCGACAAACGTCTTTGATTCCAAGGTCTTCAACTCTCTCCTTGGATTCAAGAACGTTTCGTCGAATGCCCTCAAGAGCAGGATTGGCGAGGCCAAGGCCGAGGCAGTCACCCTATCCGCTATTGATCGAGTGCTGGGCCTCGCAGACGCGAGCATAGTACCGCCGCCTGCGGAAGCCAGCGCCTCAGGGTCCCCCGCAGCGGGCTTTGACGGGATCGAGTCGCACTTGATGAACTCGGTGAAGCAGCTCCTGCTGGGCCTCAACCAGAAGCTGCATGGAACATAGACAGAGGAGCCAGGGGGCAGGACATATATGTATGGCCGAAAGGATATGGAAGGAAGGAAAGAAATAAGCGTTACAATAAGCGTTACCAATGTTCGGCGTTTCTGTGTCGGCGAACTCGGCCCTTCCTCTAGTAGAGGATGGATTGGTTGAGATCTCAAAAAGGATATGATCATGAATCAGCGAAAACCTCGTCTACTCATAGCATGGCTACGTGTTATCGTTTAGCACCTAAGAATACACAAAATCGTTTACAAATTACGTTGATGGCCGCCGGCGGTACCATGCGTACCGATGAAATAGTTGCCTGGGGTACTTTATTGGCCACGGTTTCTCACATGAACTTGAAATCATTGCTCGAAAATAGTATGTAATAGTTTATAGGCGATCATCACCTTCCCTCTTTAGCCCTCCACATTTCCTCTCGTCTTCAGGGCTGTGTTAGCACCGTCGGTCATCTCTAGTCATGTTCAGTCATTACGATTGATCAACCTCTCCGGCTCGGAAGCTCTACAGGGGAAGCGCCCGGCAACTCAACGGGGGCCGCCGTGGGATCCCTTCGTGGCTCTGATCCATATACTTCAGACGGACCCCACCCGGCGTACATTTTATTCTGTCCAGAGTCGAATCCTTGTGCATCTGTCCGAACAGCTTCGCTCTGTTCATAATTGGGAGGTTTCGAGGACGACCGTCCCCACGACCTGAAGCGGCTCCCCCGCTTTTTCTCCTGAGATTCTTCCTCTGTGGTGCGCTTGTTACGTCGCATAATGTAGATTGCAACGACAACTGTAACGCAGATGATGGCGACACCGCCGACGACGCCGCCGACGATGGCGCCCGTGTTGCTTGAGCCGTCGGATGATGACTTGTTTCCGTCTATGGGGGAGGTCGTCTGGCTCGCTGGCGAGGTGGGCTGGGTTGCGGACGAAGATACGCCCGACGATGTGGTTGAGGTAGGAGAGGATGTCAACGAAGAAGTCAATGTGGTTGATTGTATTGTGGTGGCGTCTGTGGGTATGATGCGTACAGTAGTCGCGATGATAGACGTGGGTGTCTCAGTGGTGGTGATGGCTTCTTTGAACAACGTTTCTATTGTCGGTACGTTGCCGCAGGCAATGTAGGAGAAGCCTCCTTCGAAGCCCCCTTCGAGGATAACGGTGGAGCAGAATCTATCTGTTGCACTATGGTTCATCTCTGTGAGCCTTTCCCCTTCTCTTGGTCCGTTTCTACAAAACGCGGAGAGAGAAGCAGGGGGACACGGAGGAAACTCACCAGGTGAAAGTCGTCAGGCCTGCGATGCCCGTCTTTCCGCAGCCGGATTTGCAGTTTTGCGAGTCGACGCAGTTGCCGGCCAGTCCGCAGTCTTTGGCAGAGATGACGGTCGTGGGACAGAAGCCCCAGAGGCCGCGGTCGATATCGAGCCGGCAGCCGAAACCCGGATCAGCCGTCCTTGCCTTTTCTGGGTCGCCGTTGTAGTATCCGCACACGGAGGTCACGGAGACGGCTTGTCGTCTTTTGAGGTCGTCGTTCGAGATGTTTGTGCCGTTGCGCGAGGGGGCTTTTGTTGGTTTTGGCGGTGCGAGGGGCGCGTATCGGAGGTTGATTGCTGAGACGCCATCTAGTCCTAGAGCAAACAGGAGGAGGAAAAGGAGAAGAGCTCGGGGCATGTTGGGTGAGTTGTGCTGAGATGTTTCCGAGTTCTTCGGCAAGACAACGTTGTAAATACAGCAGGTATCTTATGTTTGTAGTTCTTGATGGACTATCACGAGGATCTCTCTTGCTCTTTCTATTTCTCGTCTTTCTCTAGGCAAAGCAGAAGACGTAGGTAAGACGAGCCCTGCTAGAATTCTGGAGTGAACTGAGATGTTGCTATAACAGCATGAGAAGGATATCGTGTGACTAGAGATTATCGTAAAGTGTAGTGAGCGAGAGCCCGTAAGGAACAATAATTATCGTAAAGTCGTACAACGAAAATCAACAGAGAAAGATCTACAGTCTGCAGAACAAGAAAGACATCAAAACATGCTAGATAGAGAAAGGGGGCGAAAAGGCAGGCGACTGGACTATGTATGCAGCAAGCCGCCCAAAACCGAAGAGATCCGGCCTTCTCAAGTCCTCAAACCAAGGCCATGGACAACGCATGCCCGGGTACCGTACTCGACACGATCCTTCTTCGGCCAACATTATTGTGGCGTTTTTCCTCCACGGCCATTGACTCAATTCGAGGACTGACCTGGCCCTGCAAACAGGCGAGGGGATTCGAAACGAGGTTGTTGTGAACTTCTGGCCCTGCTTTTGTCCCGACAGTATGGTAACACCCTGGTTATCTCATTTCCTTTTGACGAATCACTGTGAGGTTGTCAGATCCTGAGCGCCTCTAATACCACCGGGAGGCCATGCTGCGTGGTGACTGAGGAGGCAACTTCCTGTGCACATCACAGCGGTGAGGTGGTCGGGCGAAGGAGGGAACGACACAATGGGGGGTTTGTGCGCCAGCCTCGAGGTGAAACCGTGAGACCAGGCCAGGAAGATGGGCAACATTATGTATAAAACCAACATGTTAGAACCAACACGACGAAGTCCAGAAAAGCATGGGAAACGGCCTTGGCTGCGGGTCCATCTTGGTGCAGCGAACCAACCAGACTGCGATTGCGAATCGTGCAGTTAAGCGCCCACGAGTGAACGCCTTAGGTCCCTTGCTCCTGATTTCTTCTTCCGGGGGGACGATGTGCTCAGAATCTCTTAGACACCTGCTGTGCCTCTCTCTCTCTCCACCCCTCGACCAACGGACTACACGGATGTCGACCGTCCAACAGGGCAGGCGGGCGCGCGTCTACCTGGGGTAATTAGTGGTCCGCAATGGCATTGGCAAGAGAGGACGAACAAGGGCTCGTTTGCTTCCAACATCCACCTGAGCTGTGTTCAACTGTTGGTCGCCCCCAAAGAAACGAACGACCCCGGTCACACTCCTCGATCGGAAGAGGCGCGTTTGCCTGTACATCCATTCTGTCATACTCGAGGCTGATTTCACTTTCTTTCTCCTTTTCTTTTCTGTTCATTTCCTTCCTCATTTTCTACAACCTCTGGCCCCTTCCCTGGACCACGATGATAATGCTCGATCCTTCATGAGCAAATCATGGCGAAAAGGATACACAGCACTATCGCACAGGCCGGCGTAGTGTGCCTGTTGCTCATCAGCTTGCTCGTCGCATATGATCTTTTCTCGGGGCGCGCATATTTTGACATCGCGTACAAGCCATTCCGTACGCTCTCCTCACCGCACAAATCCACCTTGATAGTGCCGTTGTCGAACTTGACGTCGAAAGAAGGATCAATTGAACTAACATTTGACTCAGGAAAGCCAAACCCGACCGAAGCAGCGCACGGAGCAGCTCCACACGATGGAGAAAATCAGACGAACACCGCCGTAACATCGCTGGCGATCGCGCCGTCGCATACGCCACTACCCCCGATTTCTACCCCGACGCCGACACCACCGCCGGTGCCATCCCCAGATGTTGGCGGCGGCGCCAGCTCCACAGTGCCGGACGCCAACCCGGAGCACCTCAAAAACGCACCGCTCTACATCGCCTCGATCCTCGACCCAGACGACAAATCTCTGCCCAGGCTGGACTGCCCTCGCCCCGACATTTCACGCTACCAGTACCTTAAGCCAGGCACCACACTCAAGAAACCCAAATTCTTCATCGCCCTCAACATCCGTGAGAAGGCCGACCTACTCCCGCGACTCCTAGGCTCCATCGTGGAGGCCCTCCACTTCTTGGGCCCGGAGAACTGTGTCCTCTCGATAGTGGAGGGTAACTCGGGCGACGGCACCTACGAGATCCTCCACCTCCTCCGTCCGGAAATCGAAAAACTCGGCACAGAGTATCACTTCTCCCGCAGCGACCTCGACCCCGGCGCGGGCGACCGCATCCCCAAACTTGCCGAGCTGCGCAACATGGCTCTCGCGCCCCTCGTCTCCGGCGGGCCAGGCAAGTACGCCGCCGACGCAGTAGTTCTCTTCCTCAACGACGTGGCTATTTGCCTAGAAGACATTCTCGAACTCGCGCACCAACGCTTATACCTGGGCGCCGACATGACGTGCGGCTTCGACTGGACCTACGTCGGCCCCGATCCGACCTTTTACGACGTGTGGATCAGCCGCACCATTGCGGGTGATTCCTTTTTCGAGATCCCGGCTGACGGCAACTGGAACTCTGCGTGGAACATCTTCTGGAACGAGGATACCTCGCGCCGGCGCTTCTTCGACCACAAGCCGCTGCAGGTCTTTTCGTGCTGGAATGGGGCCGTTGCGATGACGGCGAGGCCGTTGCTGGATCGGCTTGTTAGTTTTCGGGGGCCCGGGCCGGGGGAGTGTTTCCAGGGCGAGCCGCAGCTTTTCTGTAAGGATCTGTGGAATGCCGGGTTCGGTAAGATTGCGGTGGTGCCGAGCGTCAACTTAGAGTACAGTGACGAGGCTGGGAGGAAGATTAAGGCGGCAAAGGGGTATACCAGTCAGTGGGTAGGAGGCGAGGACGAGGTGCAAGACTTCAGGGTGGAGTGGAAGGCTGATCCGCCTGAGAAGGTGAAGTGTATGGCGAGTTATGATAAGCAGACGTGGGAGCCTTGGAACCAAGCGCTGGAGTAATGAGAACAATGTAACTATAATTAAAATTAACATAAAGTATTGGTACTGTCTTTTTCCCGCTGGTTGATGTTTGTATCTGCGCTGCTCTATCCGAATCCTCTCCCCCTGAACCCCATGAAAGAAAAACTAACAGGTCCCCATCAATCTATGAACACCCTTGCTCATTATCTACTGCCCATTGAAACAAATGCCTCCCAAACAATCTCAAATCAGTCAAATCTAAATCATCCAGCTCATCCAACTTCTGATCACTGCAATGTAGTACCCCCTACCCCTACCTACTCAAACTTTTGAAGTCTGGCCCACGCTTCATACATCGCCAGTTCCGCCTGGGCCTTGGCCAGCTTGTACTCGAGGTTCTCTCGACCCTCCTTCTGGCTTGGGTACGGGTAAGGTAAGCCAGCCTTGCCGTTGGGTTCCCACTTGACCGATGGAGCCGGGGCCCGGGCGCGGCTGGTTTGGCTGCGAACCGGCTCGGGCTCAAAATATTTCTCCTCCTCTTCAGAGTCCTCTCCAGAATTTTCTCCGTCGGAATCGTCTTCTTCGGAATCATCTCCAAGATCCTCTTCAATGAGGACGGCGGTAGACGAGGCGGAGCCTCTCGGGGCTCGCGTGGCTCGTCTCGGTGTGACTGGAGGAGGCGGCGCCGCAGTGCGCTGTGATGATCGCGTAGATACCGGCTGCCGGACGTCCCTTTTGTTGACGATGGGAGCGGAAGGGGGCGTGATCATGGCGGTACGCTGTGGTCTGACAGGAGATGTCTTGGCATCATTTTCCTCAGCGACGCCATCATCGTTGCCGACCTCAAGGTATGGCCGGATCCGAGCCTTCCACTGCGTAGCCATCTCTCCAGCCTGTGACTGGTGAGATCTCTTGCACAAGGCAAGACTGGCGAGTTGCTCGAGGTGGACAGACGCAGACGCCAGGTTGCCGCAGTTAATAATGTCGAGCATCACAAACGGCATCTCGGATCGCGAGGCTTTGCTGACCGCGTTGCCGCAGGAAGACTTTGTGGCGGAGTGGCCCTGGCAGTTGAAGCAGGATTTGAAGTTGACTCCAAGGCAGGTTTGGAGCTCGGTTGTGTTTTTAAGCCATTTGGCCTTGGCTGCGACGACCATGGTTGCTTGTGAGATAAGGTGGAATAATAACGAAGCAAGAAGTAAAATTGATACTGCTTTCTCATTGCCTAGGGAAGATACATGGAGAGAAGCTGTTGTAAATCATCGAGATGGAATGCGGCCCTCTGAGATATACATCATACTGACTGACCGTTTGCACGGCGGCCACGCCAGACTGTTGGCCATCGTCTTGGCCATGGGAAGCCACGGGTAAGGTCATGGAAAGCTCTAGAGAATGACTTGAAAGGCCAAAAGAGCCGTCTAGAGTTAAGATTGATCTGTATCGGACCGTCGCAGCTGCTGGAACATGTTTCTGCATCATGCTAAACATCTACAACGGCGGTGAGGTTGCTTCGACAAAGAGTACAACGTAGTATGAGACCTACCACTTACACTATCGTAAGAAAGCTTCAGTCGCATATTGTCTCTATATCCTCCAGTATGTTCAGGAATGAGAAGACCCCCTGATCAGAACACAAGATATGAAAATTGGACACATTGTTGATTGGCTGAGCTTGGAGTTTTGGCGCAAGCTCATAGCCTCATGCGCCTCGTAGTATCGGATTCCAAGCAATCTCCATCAACTGTATTTGATGCCTGCTGAGGCAGTTGCGCTTGCGAAACAACAGATGACCAGGGAAGCGAGGCAGGCAGACTCAATGCCAGCGTAGGGTTGATAATCCTGGCCTGGTGTAGTTGAAAACGTGAGGGGTGCCATATGTGAGTGTGAAAGAACGGATCAATGGATGAGACTGTTCAAATTGACGAGATGAATGGAAAGAAGCCTTCTAGAAGTATCGTGTTCTAGCGGCGTGGGAGCTCACAAGTAAACACTCTTGAACGTATCAAGATGCTGCATCATGGTAGACTACGTAGTCCTCGCAGTTACTGGGCAAACGGCTACGTTGGCCCATACTCACCGACAGGTGTGGGGACATATCATCTCTCGGTTTGGGTTCATTTGACTGACAGCGTAGATGCAGGGCAATATTCACTCGAGCTCCGTAAGCTGGAGGGGATGGAACAGGCACGCTGACAACGTGTGTGGCGAAAACGATATGGCCGCTTCTGACTTATATAACAGCCTCTTCATTGTGTAAACAAGTTAGGAACCGAAAGATTTTCCAAGGATGACCATATTCTAGCCTCTATGACTTTCTTCGGGTAGTTCTAGGGTGTTCATGCAGTAATACAATATTCATGCGGAGCGGCAAACTACATCATCAAGTAGACCCAACTTGCGCAAACGCGTGGTGCTAGGTGGTGAGACTGACCGCCAGCTTCGTGGCCTCTCTTCCTAACAGCTGGAAGTCGTTCTTGCGCGCATGAATCTCTGCAGGCTACCGAAGAATTACCAGTCCTTGACATGTTAGAACGGGAAAGACCGGATGGGAGGAGCTTGTTCGATAAGATAATCATGATGGTAAGGGAGAAGCTATTCTTTCCCCTCAAGACTGAAGAGTAAAGCAGGGTATTTGAAACGAAAAGGGAAAAAGGGATTTACCCTCGAGGAATCGAGTAAAAAGCATCGGAGTGGGGTGGCTGAAGGACAGAGTAGGTACGTTCTTCCGCAATCCTAATTAGGCGGTGCATTGCATTGGCAGAACCTGCCGTACCTTTACACGATCAATGGGCTGTGCTCTTTGTGGTGCTCCTGCTCTAGGTTCTTTATTAAGTAACAAGACAATCAGTGGATCGTCCTGTCTTGAATTAGATACAAGAGTATGCAAAATCTGCTTCCTTGAATTTGACAAGAAGCTATTCGGACATTTGTATACGACCGAAGGTTCCCGACTCTGGGTACTAGTTGGAGTTAAGCATGTAAGTTTTGCTGACTCACCTTGATCAACATATTTGTGCATCGTGGAGTAGACAAGCGTTTGCGGCGCTTGCAGATCATCGGATCGTGTTGCCGACGGGGTAGGTAAGCCCGGACTTTAAGGACTTAACTCAGGATAATTGGCCACCGACGTTATATCATCTAAGGCCTCAATGCCGCACTCATCATAATATTCTTCAAATTTATATCCTGAAACGATCAAAACACATTGAACGAGCAGAATCAAACAACATGGACTTTGACTCCGAGACACAGGCAACCTCATCTCAGCGCATGTACACCGCGCGGGCAGACAATTATGAGAACTCATTCCATCCCGACTGGACCAAGCGCTTCATGGCCGTCGCCGATATCCAACCGGGCGAACGCGTTTTGATTCTAGCTTGCGGCACCGGCCTTGAGGTATTCACTGCTGCCGACCAGGTGGGCGACACGGGCGAGATCGTCGGCCTCGACGTCACCGAAGCCATGCTCAATAAGGCGAGAGAGAAGCAAGAGCGCCTCAAGCCGAGCGCAAACATCCGTCTGTTCCTTCACGATGCCACAAAATTGGAGACATTGCCGGAGCTGGAGGGTCAAACTTTCGATGCCATCTTGTGCTCCAGCGCCTTTGTTCTCTTTGACGACCCTGAAGGTGTTGTTTCGAAGTGGCGCAACTTCCTGAAACCGGGAGGCAGGGTGGTCATCGATATTACGCACGAGGATAACTTCAAGATCGGACTCATTCTGGAAAAGGCGGCTAAGCGCCTGCGGTCACGATTTCCTAGCAACAGATCCTGGATCACGGACAAGAACTCCTTCACAAAGATTCTCGAGAGCGCAGGGTATGTAGTGGACAGGATCGAACTCATGCATAACATTTCCGGACAAGGAGACACATATTACGGCATGGACCAGATTGACGAGCAGTTTGAGCATGTCACGAGCACGTCGTTGGTCACCAGTCTCCCGACAGAAGAGTTTAGGGACCAGGCTAGAGCACTATTTCACGAAGAGTGGAAAAAGGCTGCCGTTGACGGCCAAGTCGTCAACGTGGACGCTCTTTATATCTATGTAGCCCGAAGAACCTAGATGCGACCTTCTAATAGGAACCTTTCCTTGTGCACCTGACTCTACAGTTTCGCTTTACCACTACCTTTCAGATTCGGCTTCACCGGAACCTTTGGATGGTCGCCCTCTAATGCCAGTCCAGTGACCTTCTCTAGTTCTTCTACCGCCTCGTAGGCCCTTCCTAGATGGACTTTGATAGTGTTGAATCCTTGCTTCTTCGCCTCCTTTAGGTTCTCGCCAATGTCGTCCAGGAACACGATATCCTGTGGCTTGATACCCTCCCCCCACTTGAGCGCCTGGCCTCTCTCAGAGCTCGCATTCTGGGCAGCGTACTCATTCAGCCTTTCCAGCGCGAGGTGATACATTTTTGGATCCGGTTTTCTCAAACCAGCATGTGCCGAAGAGACAAACACGTCAAACAAGCTGCGAACGGGGTCGTCCATGAAGTCTTTTCTATGCAGCTTGTGACCCTCGGGGAAGATGACGGTGTTGCTCAGCGCGGCGAGGATATACTTCCCACTGGCCTTGAGCTTCTTCAGCGCCGGGTACATCCACGGGTCCGGGGGAATCGAGTTGGCCATCATGGTGTTGAAGAGATACTTGGCGTCGACGGTAGGTAGGGGTGGTGTCTCCTTTGGAAGAGATGGGTTCTTTGCTTTTCGAGTGGCGTAGAATGCCTCCCAGCGGCCTTGGTCGTGAAGGTCCTTGGTGAAGCCGTCAAAGAAGGCCTGGTCCATGGGTATTGAGCCCGTCTCAAGGCGGTGCCAGAAGCCGGTAGGACTTGTCTTGGAGATGGAGTAATTCACCCATCCTGGCGGGATACCGAGACTAAGCTCGTAATCTAGGATGGATTGAAATGGTGATACGACCTTGTCAAGTCAGAAAAAATGGCCGAAATTGGTATACAATGTGGCACGCATTATGTATAATCACACATTCATGGATTGGAGGCCAATGAGCATCGAACAGTAACAGAAATCATGGGGAGCTACTTACACACACACCACCAATGTCGAATAAGAGCACCTTGGGCTGCTTGGAGTCTGTCATATCGTCTACAGCCTCGAGAACGTGATCAATCAGAAAGGTATCAGACTCTTCTAAAGACTGCATGGCTCCGAGAAACGGCAGATCTATGTTCTTACGAAGTAGTTGTAGTAAACCCACAACTCGGGCCAGCGTTGAAAGTCGTGGAGAGCAGCGATGGGTTGGGGGGCCGAAACCTGGGGAAAGCCCCCACCTCGGTGCGGATTGTACCAGTGGACCTCGGCCCAAAGCACCAAGGCACTGAAGGAATCGAGAGGTCACTCGAGATGAGGTAAGCCGCTCAGCACAGACCATGTCGTCCCCGGCCAAAGTCTAATCTCCACGTGACTCGTCCCCGACCTGCTTTGGGAGTGACAATCGAGAGGGGAGAGGTGGGGCCACACAATCTAGGGCTGCCCCAAAACCCACAGAGGAATATTATCGCGAAGTTGTGCCTTGGAACTTTTTTTCTCTTGACAACCCCCTTCGACAACCACCCACACCGACCAATTTGAGCCAACCGCCCGCTCATATACCGTCAAGATGGTAAGTTGATACATCAACCATCAGCTCGTCAAAAGCCTGAAAAATGGCCGAACGACAAATTGCGACAAAAACCTCCTCTTTTTAGCCAGCAATGGTGAAAATGAGAAATGGCCCCCAATAGCAGACAGAAATGTCTCATGGGATTGAGAGTCAACGCAAGATGCTTCGGGTCAACAGGCCATATCTGAAGCGCAAATTGCTGACTCGGAATCTTTCGTACACAGGCTTTCCACAAGTTGGTGAAGAACAGCGCGTACTACAGGTAAGTTTCAATTACTTTCAATATTCCCAATGACAGGTTTTCGAGATCAGAGTTAGCTGACCTTTCCACTCCAGTCGCTTCCAGACCAAGTACAAGCGTAGAAGATCCGGCAAGACCGACTACTATGCCCGCAAGCGCCTGATCACCCAGGCCAAGAACAAGTACGGTGCCCCCAAGTACCGTCTTGTGGTCCGCTTCACCAACCGGGACATCATCATGCAAATCGTCACCTCTGAGCTCACCGGCGACAAGGTCTTCGTCGCCGCCTACGCTCACGAGCTCCCCGCCTACGGCATCACCCACGGCCTCACCAACTGGGCCGCCGCCTACGCCACCGGTCTCCTGATCGCCCGCCGTGCCCTCTCCAAGCTCGGCCTCGACAAGACCTTCACTGGTGTCGAGGAGGCCGACGGTGAGTTCACCCTCACCGAGGCCGCCGAGACCGACGACGGCGAGCGCCGCCCCTTCAAGGCCAACCTCGACGTCGGTCTCCACCGCACCTCCACCGGTGCCCGTGTCTTCGGCGCCATGAAGGGTGCCTCCGACGGTGGCATTCTCGTCCCCCACTCCGAGAAGCGCTTCCCCGGTTACGACATCGAGTCCAAGGAGCTCGACGCCGAGACCCTCAAGAACTACATCTTCGGCCAGCACGTCGCCGAGTACATGGAGACCCTCGCCGACGACGACGAGGAGCGCTACAAGTCCCAGTTCCAGCAGTACATTGACGACGACGTCGAGGCTGACGGTCTTGAGGAGCTCTACACCGAGGCCCACGCCGCCATCCGTGAGGACCCCTGGAAGAAGGAGGAGTCCGGCAACAAGAAGACCAAGGAGGAGTGGAAGGCCGAGTCCAAGAAGTACAAGACCAAGCGCCTCACAAAGGAGGAGAAGGAGCAGAAGGTCAAGGAGCGCATCGCTGCGTACCGTGCCGAGTAAATTCTTCCCTTTCTGTAGTAGCAAAGCGGTTTAATTCATTCGTGGTGGGGTTTGGCATCTGGGCAAGGCATTTGACGTTATGGCATGACAACTTTTCTTCAGTCTTCTTCGGGCGTTAATCAGGCAAACAAAAATCCGGAAGGAGGATTATGATGGTCACGGGAGGAGTCACAAAAAAAGACTCCTCGAGAATTCAATAAGAATATCCCAAATGCCAGACGTCAAAAGCTATTGACCATCCATTGAAATGTTTTGTCCGAATGAAGGGAACGTGAGAAGTGATAGTTGGCCAAGCCTCTACTAAGCGCAGGTAACCAACTGTTCGTCTCCTTGCAATTACAACGATACTGGTCTACGTCAAAACGGAAACGTGCGTGGGGGACGGCACAGCTGAAATGCGGTGCCGTCTCGCGCCTCGGCGGCACAATTGGAAATGCTTGATCGCTCGCTAGTCGGACTCGATGCGCTCCGTGATAGGCGATGGACCTGTCGGCCGCAAGGTGACGCAGCTTGGCAGGCGTGTGTGGTCACTGTGGTGGTGAAGCACAAAAAAAAAGAGGGAGGGCATGAGACCCCGCATAGCAGCACCAATGATATCAGATCATGCGAGACGGCATTGGGGAAATGTGTCGATCTCTTACGAGAATCAAGAGATGATGGCATCTGCAAAACTTCTGGAGTCCCGGAGGGTTCCGGGACAGCGCAAAGGGCCATTGGCTTCATACACCTCGCGATGATGTCGGCACGGGTCTTCGTACAGAGCATCGTGAGAGATGTTGAATCAGAGATGGGTCACAGCCTCCTCGCTTTCCCCCTTGACCAGGTAATCATGCCGCTACTGCTGCGAGGCAGAGATGGGTCGATTCCCGTCTGGTCCCACAAAGCGTCCGAAAACTTTGTATGGCGACATAGGTAAAATTGAGGAGACACCATGAGATCCAATTTGGATCTCTTCGGTAATAACAAGGGACTTGAGAAGAGCTTAGGAGATGCTGGCACACTGCAGCTATGCGCCGATTCGAGGAAGTCAACGATGAGAGACACGAGCCGAGATTCGCATTTCGTCACGTCGCGCGCGGGAATTACGGGATGAACGGAGGGCATAGCGGCGGGATGGGGGGAGGCGGAAATCCCACCTGGGGTCCCAGACCCGAAGCACATCATTTCATCCGGTTGAAATAAAAAAGGAATGGTACGCTGGGGAATATGGCACGCTGCTGCAGAAGGAGACAAGAGCCCACAACCGCTCCGATATGCCGCCACGCAAGGTTCCGTTCGAGAGTGGGTGAGTGAGAGTCCCTGGTGTTGTAGCGGTGTCCGTTTGTCTGCCCCTTTTAGACGAAGGGACACCGCTGAATGTTAAAGCAGGGGAGTCCCCCAACGGCAGCTCCGTTGAGTGAGGGCCCCGTGATCTCGCGATGCTCATGGGGCGGTCAGCCGGTCACTCCATGGTCGACAGTGGCCCGTCTTGTGTATCCGTACTTATGCTCGTGGACTGGTGGCCCATTTTCTTCCAAATCACTGCAAGATCAAAGAGAGCATCTGGACCCTGAATCGACGCCGCTGTACTTACGCGGTAGTGTACAATGGGGTAGCAGGTAATTAAGTAGTGCACCCAAATGTAAAGGTTATGACTGCAAATGGCAAGTGTGAACTCTGTCTGGCTTGTGCGCGGGCGTTTGGCGGCTTGTTTTGACAACGTGCAGGATGCTTGAGCGAGCCCAGTCACCCTATTCCGTAGAGACTGTAGAGTCCAGCGTTCAACTGTCAATGACTTGGCAGGCCCGCCGCCCCAAGGGTGAGCTGTGTGGTCAGTCCGGTGGTCAAGAGGCGCGCGATTAATAAGAGCCCCCATCTGCGTCCAGCCCACGTCCGCCTGTGACTCTGCAGTAGTGTGCGGTTCTAGTGGCGGGTTGCAGAAAGATGCAGGGCTGTTCGTCCGCTTGCGAATGGAGAGTGAAGGCTGTGTGTGACTGTGTGTGGTGACCAGTGAGTGTCGCCTTGTCGTGGATGCCAGGCGATTGGCGCCGAAATGAAGGCAACTCAGCTGGGGCAAGTTAGCAGCACACGGAGGGGGGGCCGGGGAGTCTCGAGAGACTGAGAGTGAGAGTCTGAGAGAGTTCCAGGTTGCTCTCTCTCGCTTTCCTGACGTTCATGATCCCCGCTGACAAGTGGAGAGGGCCGGCAGTGGCATCCAACCAGAAGAGAGTTGAAGCAATCCACTGGCCACCTGCTGACTGTAGGGCGGCGGAGGTCCCCTACAAGTACGAAGTCAGTAGTAAAGTACATGGGTCCTGGAGCCAAGCTATGTGCCATCCACGGAGGACGAAAACCGCGATACCGGTGCGTCTGGCGGCTGGCCGTGTCAGGTCCTGCTGCGTGCGGTGAGGAGGCACGGACAGGCGCAGTATCCGTACGCAGTCACAGTTGAGTGTGCGTGTGCGATGTTTCCACCACATATGTCCCATCTCAAGCCTAGCTGCGGTGCTGGTCGTCTCAACATGGCGGGCCGAGGTTCTTACTCGGGGATCTGATCTCCCAAGTTGGCAGTGCCCACGAGAAGGGAGTTTGGGGCCGGGATGGAGCGAGCCGCGGAAGACGGGAGTATTAAGGTACGCAAGAAGTCTAGGAACATTGGTGGTTCAAGACAAAAAAAAAAAAAAAAAAACAAGGGCCGTCAGTGCTGCATGAAAAAACATACCGGGGAAGATTGCGGCATAAGATGTCCGTCCGTCTGAAGGTTGTTGACGCGGGACTTCCCATCGGGCCAGGATACTGGGAGGACGGCAGGTGAGGGACGGTATATGTCGCCAGGGATAGTTGGATTTGTGTTTGGATGCCGTTAAAGCCTCTTTTCTTTTCCTCTGGTTATCCTCTCTTGCTTTCCGTGGGTCTGTATTGCCAATTATAAATGTGCTTTAGGGCGGGAAACCATTGCATCTTGTTCCATTGGCGATGAACAAGTGGTGACAATTTGACAACAGTCAGCAATGGCGGAGGGAAAGCACGACATTGGACTCCTGTACGGGGGGTACTTCCTTTACAGAGTAGCCCAGGTATTTGGGTAGGTACCTCAGGCCAGCCAAGACCGGGTGGCCCCTCGGGTGAAAGTGAAGTCTCCAAAAACCAACCAGCCTGGGCCATGGCGCCGCTCATCTCCTGCCAATGACGAGATGCTTTGCCTCTAAAAAGGTTAATGAACCCCCCGCTAAGCTGCCACGTCCGGCCTTTCCTTCAAGGAACCTTACGGCAAGGTACGGACTCTCTGGCTGCTTCCTGATTGCGCTCACTGATTTTATTGCGAACCCAATGGAAGGTACCAAGGGTAGGAACTGAGGAAGGCATTACCGCAGCGGCAGTACGTAGCTACGAATACCTGCCGTTCCCCCTCCTTCCCTCCCCTCCCCTCCCCATCCGGACCCGGACCCTGACGTGAGGTTTCCGAACCTGCGAGTCTTCCCCCCAAAGTACTTGGTCCCTCCCATCACCCAAGACCACCGCGAGCCCATGACTTATTCGTACCTTCTCTCCAGTCCTCGACCAACATCCCACGCTCGCCCTACCACACCCTTTCACGCCAGCTAACCCGGCTTTTCCAGAGCTGGACCGTCGATTGCAAAGCGAGGCAGCTTCTGTCCGCTCTTGCTCCGAATCGACTTACCGGAAGGATCCAAGGTGGTGTCCAAGGAACCGGGGCTAATAATCAACGAACCTCCGAGTACACTACGAAGTACCCTCCACCTCCCGCTTCCGCCTCCTCTTAGAAATCAACCCAAAAATCACCCTCTGCCCGACCTGCGCGCGCAACAATTCCATTCCTTTCTGTTGCGCCAAAAACGAAGAAGTGACAACCACCGCCTTCTTCTTCACCTCCTCCGCCAAGCATTCCTCTCTCATCGTCGCCCCTCTTCGCCTGCCTGGACGACTTCGTGCCTATTCTTTTGGGGCCCTTTTGCGGCTTCTTTGGTCCTTGACCTGTATTCTACCCTTGCACAGCATCTCTGCGACAATCGTTATGGAGCAGGTTCACGGAGTAGATGTTAGCTGGATGACCCACGGCGGCTCTCCGAAAGGTATGCAAAACGTCCCATCTGACCTCATTCTCCAGGGCAGCTAGTTGGCTATTGCGCTGGACCCCCAGTCACCCACTCACCACTCATATCGCGCTCGCCAACGCTGCCCTGCCTGCACCCGCATCCCAAGCCAAGTCGACCTACGAGCGCTTGCCACTGTCGACCGCATCTTTGGGTCTCTCGTGCCTGGCCTGTGGATATATCCAAGAGCCCGTCACTTCCCTTCACCTTCTCTCTCCTATCTCTCCATCGCGCATTATCTTCAATTACCCAAGTCCCTAAATCCTTCCCCTGCTAATCCAAGATGCGCCTCACAGACAGACCGCCGAAATCGTTACCCATACGGCGATCCTCAACGTCCGCACCCAAAGAGTCATCACCACTCCCTTCTCCGACCATCGGCCAAACCGTTGGCAACGGGAACACCAACGGCACAACCGACACTGCGAAAGCGACAACAGAAGGATCAAAACCTATCCCAGTCTCGAGACCGCCTCTAGGTAGAAGTCCGTCGAACGAAAAATCACCAGGGCCGAACGGTACTCCGCCAACCCGCCGGAATTCGTGGTTTTCCAACATCTCTTCCAAGTTTTCCTCTTCACCAGACAGCAAGACTGCTCAGGCAAACCAGCAAGCACAAAGCACGCCGCCAAAGGACTCTGGTCCGGTTGCCCCGAAAGTGACTCCTGCAAAGAACGCCGTGCTCGCACACGCCGCCAAGAACGATGGCGACCAGCCTTACACCCCGGCACCCCCCGGACGCGGCCAGGCCGGTTTTCTGGGAGTCTTCCGCCGACTGTCTTCGTCTGGCGGTGTCCTAGGACAAGGAACGAGAGGAACACACGGCCTGGTAGAGCGCAAGATTCTGAACGTTGACCGCAATCGTGAACGTTGTCAGATTTCGGACTTGCATCAGGCGAAACTCCGGAGGGTTGCATTCAGCGTTGATGTCGAAATTGCGCCGATGCCCAAGTACGTCGATACAGATATGCCCGTCAAGAAGCCACTCGAGAAGTCAAAAACGAAGAAGATGACGGAGAAGGGTGAGGGCGAGGCACTGAAGAACCCGAAAAGTCTGGAACAGCAAAAGGAGCGCGATGGCATCATCCATACAACGGGTGAAACCGTGCCAAAAGAACCAGAAACGGAGGGGGTGGACTCGGCCAAAACCAAGGAGGATGACGCGAGCGGCGTGAGCGCTGCATCCGCGGATAAAGAGAAAGACACCAAGAAGAAGGAGAAGAAGAAGAAGAGCGAAGAGGAGAGGAAAGCAAGGAAAGAGAAGAAGCGGAAACAAGCTGAGGCTAACGGCACGATTCCCATGGAAATCCACGTCGACGATAGCGATTCCTCCAGCGAAAGCACCCCAGCCGCAACGCCCAAGACGACAGCGTCCCCCACAACAAACCCAGTGAGGATATACCGCCGTTGTTGCCAATTGAGAGAGACACCCATTCTCAAGAAGATCACCGAACAACTGAACAGCCCTTCAAATTGCTCTGCCGACATAGGAATGGTGCAGAAGTTGGATTTGACGGGCTACTGGATGCAGCTCCCTGACTTGGTCACCCTAGGCGATTACTTGGCGGTTGTGCCGGTTAAGGAGGTTATCTTGGAGAACTGCGGCCTGACAGATGAAGGCGTCAGGGTGATATTGGCCGGTCTCCTGGCTGCGAAGAAGCCTGATTCGAAGAGGCGGAAGCAAGCCAAGGCAGATGGTCTCACTACACAGGGCGGCTTCGTCGAACGGCTCGTCCTCAAGAACAACAAGATTGGACCCGAGGGTTGGAAGCACATGTTCCTCTTCATCTACCTCTGCCGAACGCTCAAGTTCCTCGACGTCTCGACGATATCCTTCCCCCGTCCTACTCAACCGGCACAAAACGGAAACGGGCATGGCCACCACTTGCTCAGACATAACTCCAATGACGAGCAACCCCAGAACATATGCGCAACCCTGTTTGCCAAGGCCATTGGCGAACGACTGGGCGGCGCTACATTGGAACTACTCAACCTCGGAGAGACTAACCTCAACTCGAATGACCTCGGCGTGGTGATAGACGGTATCATTCAGTGTGGCGTAAAGCGACTTGGTCTTGCTCACAACAACATTGACGAAAAGGGACTCAGGCATGTTGCCAGATATCTTTCCACAAGCGGATGCGAGGGCCTAGACTTGGGCGGCAACGATCTTAGAGATCAGACTGACATCATTGCCAATGCAATTTCAGAAAAGGACTCTTTGTGGGCGCTCAGTCTGGCTGAGTGCAACTTGAAGCCTGGCTCGCTGTGCAAGATTTTCCCTGCGCTTGCTCAGCTCAAAGACTTCCGCTTCATCGACCTTTCTCACAACCGGGATCTGTGCAAATCGGATCCCAGTGCCATTGGTCTCTTGCGCAAGTAAGTCATACCGATTCACTCGACGAGGTTACGAAGCTGACAACATTTAGGTATCTACCAAAGCTACAAGGACTGCGGCGCGTTCACCTTGCTGATGTCGCCATGACATCCGAACAAGCCATTGCGCTTGCCGAGATTCTCCCTGAGGCTAAAATGCTCGCCCACATCAGTTTCCTGGAGAATCCAGAGCTCGTCAAACTTGCAGATGCCAAGACTGAGGATGCCCAGGAGGAAGCTTGTGCGCTTTATGCATCCTTCCTTGCTGCTACACGTGTCTCCAAGACTATTGTGTGTGTCGACATCGATGTACCCAGCGACAATTCCGGCGAGGTTGTCAAGGCTCTGGCCAAGCAAGTGGTCGCCTACTGCTTGCGGAATATGGAGCGATTCCCCATCGGCGACATAAGCGCGGTCATTTCAACAGTCCTAGCCGAATCTCAGGACTCGTTGCCAGGCGGTCCAATTCCACCTTATCCCGATGTGCTCGCACATCTCGTCGGCCACGACGTTCTCAGAGAAGACTCGGACAACGAGTCCGCGCCTGACGATGACTATGTTATTGGAGGCACCGGTGTTGTCAAGGCTCTCACCTGCTGTCTTAAGAATAGAGGAGATGAATCGAGAAGGCAATCTGGCGAGTTCATCCGGGATTTCGAGGATGGCGTCCCAGTGCCTGCGAGCCCGCGACCGAAGCTGCCTCCAGGAAAGGCCAAGGATATGTCGAAGCATCTACTGGCCAGCGCTCGCAAGATTCGTCAGCGGCTGCAGCCAGCACTGTCCAAGGCTAGAGTCAATCCGCAGGAAGATGAGCACAACCTGCGCAAGTTGATGTTCCTCGACGTCACACTTGCCAATATTATCAAGCGGTTCGAAGATGAGTTTCCTGAAACTCGTGTGTCCACAGATGAGGCATCGGAGACCACCTTGCCCAGCCAGAGTGACCAACTCGGTACTTCGCTATCCTCGACGGAGGATCCTGATCAGCACAGTATTCCGTCCGATGCCGAGGACGAGACCGGCTTATCGGTCCGGCCTGGTCTGCCGCGCACGAATTCGACGTTGTCGCATACCTCGAAAGCACTCGCCGAAGAAGAGGGCAGAATGCACAGGGCCGGCCACAAGATTCGGTCTGGAATCATCAAGCCCGAGTACTATGGTCTGCTGAGTGGTGTACTCGAAGTGGGCCTCGACCCCAAGCACACAGCTATGCTTCACCAGATGATTGAAGAGATTGATGAGCCTGATTTGACCCAAAAGGTTGAACAAAAGGGCATCATGCGCGTCTTCAACGAGGACCGCGATCAGGTCCGTGAGGGACTTCGAGCACTTGATCCCATGCACTGGGATCGGTTCGTCGAGAGTCAGGAGAAGGCCCGTGGCAATGTCAAGGCAGGCATGACCAGCCCAGCAAAGACCGTCGATGAGAACGCCATTGAGGACTGAGCCTTTGGCCTCCCATGCATGGCCACATTTGCATCATAATATGGCGGCTTATTTGTCGCCTTTTGTACTCGTAATTTGCTTGACATGAAATGTTGGATTGGGGACTTTTTGAAACGATGAGAAGCAAGCAAAGGCGTAACGCAAGGAGGGAGTCCGGCATTCACCAAAACAGTCTTTCCTCTGGGCGTCTTCAAAGACACCAAGGGATTCGGGTTCACTTGATACGTTCATACATCTTGGGGTGTGGATGGATTCGTCTCCAGCAACGGAAACAGAAGAGTTCGTCAAAGTCATGGAGGGAGGCAGCCAAAACGAACAGTCGCTACTGAAACCTGTACTAGTGTACAACAGCATTCTAAAGCAATGACCACATTCCTCGCCCTCTTTAGGGTGAGAAAGCCGCCGGACCTGACGTGCCAAAGTGTCTCTGCAGCTCGATATAATGCATACTATGAATCGTGTTCAAGTGAAGCTCAATGGCCATCGCTGCAGTAAACGTCAAGTGGTGTTTGCGCTTGTCAAAAGGCAGGCTATCCGACTCCAGAGCGGGACAGCCCCGACTTGTGTGAAGGGCAGAGTAAAGACTAGGAGGTAAAGCTATCTGGCTGGTGTGCTGACGAGGTTCAGACATCACTCACACCTTATATACGTGGAAGAAGGGGCTGCCTGCGGTACACCCTAAGCGTGTGATGGCCAATGGGATACAAATTATTGACTCTAACGCTGGTGGTCTACTGTCGTTAGGAACCATATTCAAGTCGAGTGACTAGCGCAACCGAATCCGATGTGTTTCTCTCTGGTCGGTATGCTCAGGTTTTGACAATGCCACAATCTCATCGCCTAGTCCGGCGAATTTCTAGACTTTCATTTGGTCTATGCGCCAAGTGCCAGATCAACACCCAAGTCCCAGGGGTCTCGCAGGCTAGGATAGATCGTTCGGACTCTCGCTACTTGAGTGTCCGTATACCATACATTGCCAGTCTACAAGCCAGATCTCACAGACTAAAGCCAAGAAATGTTTAAATCTAACAGCGACGGGAGCGCATCTGATGTACATTAAACTTAAACTTCGTCGGGGCTGGGGAAGGGGGCCCGGGGATATGGTTCAAACAATGCCAAGGCCCGCCGGTCACATAACTCATCCATCCATCCATCCACCCTCTCGCTGTGTTTACTGTCGGGACCGGGATGTCCATCGTAGTGACTTAGGTTTGTGAGAGCCTTTGTTGTTTAACTCATACATGGGTATCCAAAGGTAAATGATAGCGAAATTGATTAGACATGAGGTTTAAAGGAGTAGCCTTCGCAGTTCGTCTGATGTGCTCGTTATTTCGAGATAAGAAAGAAAACCAGCCGTTCCGCACACCGGTCTTCCTCTTCTTGTTCTGCCAGGGCTCTTTTCTATACCCAGAAGGAGGTAGAGAGGAACGATCCTTCAATTTACACTCGCTTTCGTCACCTCATTTGACCTTCTCATAGACCGTCTCTTGTCTTCTCAATTTACATACACATTCGCTTGCATCACAACACACACAGACGAAAAAAGATGAAGTCACCAGACAGACTCGCGCTGCTCTTAGCAGCAGCAGCAGCAGCAGTTCCGGTGGCAGCCTTTACAAACACCAAAGTCGACTTCTTCATGCGCAAGAACATCGATCCCATCGTCATCCCGGGCCAGTACAAGAGCCACATGCACAGCTTCTTCGGCAGCGACGCGGTGAGGGTGAACATGAGCTCGACGGCCGAGTTGCAAGAGGGATGTTCTACGGCGCAGAACCCGAATGATTTTTCTGTATATTGTATGTTCATTCTTCTTTCTCCACCACCCCTCCCTCTGCTATATGCGACTGGAAAGAGATCATCTACTCTGGTCTCGTAGCAGAGCAATCTTGACTTACACCCCTTCGTTAGGGATCCCTACCCTCTACCACGTCCAAGGCGAAACCCGAACGCCCATCGAACCGGTCTCGTTCGTAGCCTATTACAACTTTGACAAGGACCCGGCCGAGGTGCCCATTCCGCCCAACTTCTCCGTCGTGGCGGGCAACTCCAGGGCCTCGACGGAAGCGGACCTGATCCCCGGTTCCGACGTGACCTGGCTCTGCCAGAACCAGGCCTTCGACGCGGGCGGGAAAGAACATTCCCAGTTCCCGCAGAACACGTGCTCGACTTCGTTACAGGCGGTCCTCTGGTTCCCAGACTGCGTCGACGAAACTACCCTTAAGTCCGCATACTCTGACAAGAAGACGGGGGCGTGTGCGGGTGGGATGAAGAGGATGCCGCAGCTGCGTTTTAGTATACGCTACGACACCAAGAAAGCGATCCCCGAAGGCTGGAAGGGCGGGGACCCGCCGATCGAGCTCGCGTGCGGCGGGAGCCGGTGTTTCCACGGGGACTTTGTGAACGGGTGGCTCGAGGAGGCGGCCAAGACCATGGTTACCGGGTTGAAGAGTAAGAGGGAGTTTGAGGCGGTGGATGGGCCGAATGGGAAGGCTAGGGCGGGGAGCGTTTGTAAGAGGAAGGCGACGGACGCGGATCCGGGGAACGGGACGGGGGATTGGGCGGAGAGTGTGAAGATGATGGGGGCTGGGAAGAGGAGGAGGAGGAGCGGTCCGGTGAGGAGAATGGGGCTGTGAAGGTTGTAAGTGAATGACAGAATATGATGTGTTTCGTCCTGTGTGTGGAAGAAGGGCCGGATTCCTGGCTTAGAATAGAGCTACTCTCTCTGGGACCTTCATTCGTCGGAATAGTAAGACGAGTACCAAGAAAGTCCTCAGTATCGATTACCTGATCAACCGTCAATGCCAATATTAAAGCGTCTTTCCCATGCGAGACTTCTCCCCGAAGTTGATGGATTAACACACCGGAATCGACTTCATGATCGGTCTTCATATTGAGACTTCTACCCATTGCACTGAACGTTCTACAACGTTCGCTGGTCCCCATAAAGTCTCTTGAGTTGAGGAAGGAAATAAATCGATGTTTAGAGTAGACGAACGTCGTTCGAGCGATGGTGCAAGTTCGAGCATACTGTATTAGCAGAGTACCGCATTGTGTTTCTGTGGTAGGACGCAATGGCTATGCTTGTCTTGGAAATGAGCATGCCATGTGCTTGATAGTGTCACATGGCTTTGATCTACTTGATCGAAACGTTGTCTTACCAGACCGCGGTGTGATTCCCATGGCCAGCATGACGTCTTCCAGACCCGAACAACGCAATGTGCTCAGGAGTATAGTCGAAGGATGGAAAGAAGTCTTGAGGAATACCGTACAAAGGACAGCATATACCGAAAGAAGGTTATCTCCTATGTCACTGCAGACTACGGCTCAAGAAGACAAGATAAGCTAGGCATGATTGATATCAGGGTAGGGACAGCTTCACTAAGAGCCAGGGTACCTCTCGCTCAGTAGGTATTGACAACCAGCCTCAACTCAATGCCCGTGGCGCCGCTCGTCACAAGTCGCAGCGAGCGAACCAAAACAGCCTGACCTCACCTACGTCTACCGGCATCCCACAGCGTGAACACCGATGAAGCGCCATGCCAGAGGCGGCTAGATGGCCATCGATCGGTGATTTGTATCGCCTACGGGCCGAGCACATACATAGGTATGTAGTAGGTATCCGTAGAAAACGTCAAACCACTTGGGATGACAAAATGGGGTGGGAACTAATTAGGTAGGTAGGTAGTCTAACGATGCCGATGGGGTAATGCTCCTAAACATTGGAAGAAAAGTATTCGAAATAGGAATCAATGTCGTCTCGCGTCGGGGCCCTCGGGAGTCGGGAGCACCCAGTTTAGCTCCATGCGGACGGGTATCCGGCCGAAAAAAAAAAAAAAAAAAGACCTCGAGGCTTGCCGCTTGGCCCTGCCATCGCTGGGGCACGCCTCGATCGAGCAAAAGGCCGTGGTTGCTCCTTTCACTCTGGCGTAGTGGGTGGTGAGTGAGCGCTGAGCCCTGCGTCATAAATGGAGCCTGCCCACTCCACCCCAAGGCTAAGCCGGGGGCAGCCACCGAGAGATGGAAGGCCAAGACGGTTCTCGAGTTGAAGGAGGGTTGACGAGTGGGTGGGTGGTTACGTTTGCTGGCATGGCTGAGAAGTCTTGGAGATTCAGGAGGGGAATGGGGTCATTAATGGTCGTTAATTACCTTGGGTGAGGACGATTCAATATCATTTGCTTTCTCTTTGCCGGAGGCCTCGAATGCTTGGGCTTGGCTTGCAGGCTTCCGGGTCTTGGAACCGATGCTGTGCAGGCGGATCGAAGCCGAAATTTGACTTGGCTTTTTTTTTGCTTCACGTTACCTTGGACGTCAGCGAACTGCAAAAAAGGGGGGCCATGGTGTACTGCGTAGACTCTAGAGACTAGAAGCAAGCCGAATACCTAGGAAGAGGCTGTGAAAGGGACTCGAGAGTCATTCTGACGAAGATGGGCGTGAGCTGACGAGCGGCATTGCAGAAACCGGCCGATCGTTGGACGTCCTGCTGGCCTCTTCCGTCTACGCACATATTCCTTTTGAGTGAGCCGGAACCCCAGTGTCAGCTTGCCTGTCTCACTCTATTGTTGTCTATTGGCCTTGGTATGATTCGAGCGAGTGATTTCGGCTGAACTGGATTGGGCCCGACGGAAGTGACCTCAGAAAGAGTGTCGAGGAAACTTGGTCGTGGCCGCCCCGTCTAAGTGGGATTGACGATGGCACGACGGTAGGCCGTAAGAGCTGAAGCCTGAAGCTTGGATCGCTGGGGCGTCCAGACGGCCCGTGCACCGCCTGGCTTTCGCTCACTGTGTTCTAGCGCCATGCAATTTTTAGGCCACTATCCGTACCTCAGGTACCTTACCTAGCGTAGGTCTTTGCCGTATGGGGCTCAGAACACAGGAGGCTAGGAAATAGGAAAACTTACATGTATACCTACCAGGTCCAATACCTATGCTCTTTATTCAGGCTCTTTAATCAGATTGTGCGTGTAAAGCAAACCAGGCGCAGTGAGTGTGACACTGAAGACTGAGGTGAAGAGAGTTCCTCATCACAGGAAGTCTGAAGTCCCTACTACTCAGGTGAGGTACTTGGGTACTTGGCGACAGACATGATTACCTCAGCATCGGAGGCGCCGCCCATCTTGACTTATTGAGCTCGCTCTGTATCCATACCTAGCAGGCTATCCCAAGACCATCAATCATCTATCTCTGCAACTGCCAACTCTTGAAGCTGACCTCGAGTCTGGGGAAGATGCCACCACCAGTGTGTATGATTGGGAGCTCAGAAGCTAGCAAACCAGAGCCGGGCAAAGATGGAGGGTGTTTTGATGACGAGGCTTGCCCGTGCCAAGATGGGGAACGGTTGGCAGTTCATCGTTTGTTAGTCCCTCTGCAACCTTGAGCCTAAGGTACACTACTGTTGTAAGGTTGAGGTGACGTTCAGATGGCACGAGCCGCTTGTCTTGGCCCGCGCTGGCACTTGGCCGGAGAAAGATCGACCAAGACTCTCCAAGATTCTTGGACGGCACATTGGAAGTCTTCCCTATGCAGTACCTATGCATCATAAGGTCTTGGCGCGGAGAGCCTCTCGATATGTTGCACTTGGAGGGAATAAAGATGGAGGAAGGCCGGCCCTTCATTTTTCAACTCTTGCTCTCAAACCTGCAGCCCGGCATACCGTGCCCGAGTTGGGTCGTACGGATAGGGCAGAAAAGATGGAACGACGGAAGCGCGGCAGAAAAGAAAGAAGGGAAACCCGTCTGTAGGGTTCTGGGCAGCCATGTTGTACGGGCCACGGTGCGGTGCTGCAGGTGTTGTTGCAGCCGACGAGGGGCACAAGCCGACAAACTGGATTCGTGGAGGTGGAGGGGAAGAGGGGGCCGCGCCATCAACGAACTACACCACATCGAGAGACGGTATGGGGTTCGTATGAAATACCGGAGGCGGCGGGACTTTTGCAGAGGGGATTTCTGTGAGGCGAGAAGGATAAATTGAACGGCCAAGACAGGCCGACAGCGAGGCATCTAGGCCCGGTCTAGAGGATAGAACTTGTAATGACAAGTATGGAAAATCTCGTGGCAGTGAAGTAACACAGTCGTGACAGTGAGCGATTTAACAGATCTGCACACGTTGTGAAACTTGAAGGTCGGGCTACATTGGCTGGAAGCAAGGGAGAATCGGGTGACAGCCGTTGGGATGGAGCGGCAATTCAGGGGAATGGGGAAAGGTCTGGAGTAAGAGTCCTCTGCCTGGCTGGGCGAGCTTGAATTCGACTTGGTTGGGAAGATGTCGGTTGAAGCGTGTACTACGTATGTGCGGATATCTGTAGAGTGAGGAGATTCTGGGGATGGGAGGGGCATCGTCTGGGGCTATGGACATGGACCAGGACTTGGGCCTGTCTCAGTCCCGGCTGAAGATTCGTGGCCTGCTGCGTCTGGGTAGAGACTCGGAACGGATTGACGCGGGAAATCGGACATGATGAAATGGTAACTATCCAAGAGGGGCTACCCAGGCTGTTGGGCAATGCTTGGGGTAGGTAGTTATGGACCGGCTAACTCGACTTGGGAGGTCTATCGTGATGCGCGATATGTTGACGAGACGCGAGTGTCGCTAATACATACGGCGACAAGCGACCGAGAGGATAGGCACGCGACCGACGGGGCGGAAGAGGAGAGCAAGCCAGCAGGGGATGAGATTGACAGGGAAGCGAACGAACATGAGGGAAAAGGACAAGCGACAGACGGGATTCGGGATGGCATAATGACCACTGTGGATGGGGCATCGGGGCGAGATGGGGTTAGAACAGGGAGCTGCATCTAACTGGGGAGACAGTCTGATAGGATGGACAAATAAGGTGCGCAGTGATGGTCAGGCACGGGTTCTTGTGCGAGTCCGAGATACTGTGTTCACTGCAGCTGGTAATGAAGGGGAGGGATGGGAATAGGCCTTGAGCGATGAGTAAACCGTGGTCCATATGATGAGAGCAGCTGATGAGAGGCGGTGGTAATGCGATGCGACAAAGTTGGGAAACAGCGAGAAGGTTGGTTACGGTTACCTCAGGCCCGAAGCACATGGAAAATAATTACAACAAAAGCAAGTGCAGAAAAGCAAGTTGAATTTGCGCTGTTTCTAAGTCGAAGGCGTAGGCTCGCGCTCGCACTCGCCCTTCATTTTTGAGCCTGTCTTGTCGGTGTGTCTGTCCACAGCGTGGGGGCCAAGCATTCTGGCTTTCCGGCTCATTCCTACCTGCCCTACCTTATCTTGCTGTCTACCTTATGGCCTTGCGTGCCTGCTCTATCTCATGCTTAGATTATGAGTGAATTGTTCGTGTCTCAACTCTAAGGAAACCGAGGTGGTTGCAGCTGCCATTGGAATTGAGAAGGGATTGGGAAGGAGTGTCTAAAAACATACTTCGTCCTACCTCAAGTGCCTCAGGTATAGAATACTTTTGTTACTTTTGTAAGTAGACGGGAGGATGTCATTCCTTGGGTATTTCCATTTCGGTACGGCGGTACCTCATCTTTCTGCTTATGGAAGTACTTCACCGACCGGCTTCGCGGAAGATGTACCCAGCCATAAAGTACACGAGCTGACACCGATGTCAGACTGGGCGGGTACGTACTGCAGAAATTAACCACCCTCGAATTGTACAACTCTGGCAGGCCGCAGCTTGGGAATACCACGCTCACATGCTCGCTCACGCATTGTTGCGAGCTGTACGGATAATGGAGCCCCCAATGTTAGAGGACTCGAGGTGCATGTCTTTCTTGGGGACACACCTGGGTAGTACGAAGCAGAGAGAGCAGATAGAACTCGCTTTCGCCTACCAGACGTTACCTTATGTATGCATCACTTGAGAATGAAAGGCCACCTTCTTCTCCAACCAGGGCGGTCGGTGTGTGCTTGGGTGAGGGAAATACTATACATTACCTACTTTACCAGACGTTTGTGGTATTCAACAACCTTGCCTTGAGAAGTGTATGAGAGCAAAAGACGAAAGACAAAAACATGGCCCGGACCTCCCCCTCTTGGTGTCGTCTGTTCTCGTTCCCGAACTCTACTTGGGTTCTCCTATGATCTAGGTACTCCGTACCCTTCTTCCTCACCTGTTTAACCTTTGGGCTTCTATGAGCGTACCTGTACCTGTATGAAGGCGTACTCAACGCCTAGGTAGCTGCGAGCGACCAAGGTACCAAATAATACATACGTCCATTATCTTGTATACATAGTAGGGTGAGGTGACCTAAAGCGTCTTCTCTCTTAGAGTTCTTCCCAGAGATTCCTGTTTCTGGCTGTTTTCAACCCGAGTTTCTACGGTACTCATCTTTGGACGCCGCTTCAGCTTCAGCTCCAGCTCTCCAGCTCCATCCGTCTCCAGCTCTGTTCCCTGCTCAGGATCCCGTCTCCCACCCCAAACCACGCCAAACGCCTCAAGTGAATCCACCCTAACGCACCCACATCACCCCAAACAGTGGCCACTTTGCCCGCTAGGGGACTGCACCACGAGCCGAAGCACCCGCGGACCTTTCCAGCCAACGGCCATTGCTGCCCACCAAAAGTCGTCGTATCTGGGACGAAATACGCTGGAACATACGACGAGACGAGACGGTACTTCGTTCCACTGCCAAAATCTCACCCAATCTCAAAGTACCCGCCCGGCCTGAATACCCTCGCTATACGTTTTGTCTGGTGTCTATACACGGCCACATCGGACGTAAAAACAACAAGAAAAAAAAGGTACCTCGAATACCGCCTCCTTTCCAATTCAACCAGAAGTACATGTCCATGTCCATATTCTTTTCCCCAAAGGTACGTAAGATGGGCAACCGCTCCTTTCCCTCTCTCTCTTTCCCCTGGCCAGGCTCCAGAGTTGCTCTCGCTCCCTCTCCGTCTTCGACCTCCGCCTGCATTGAGCCGTGGACTTCTGCGACGCCTCTGCTTCTGCCTCTTCCTCATTCTCTCTCCCCGTCTCTCTCACCCTCTCCTCTACCTTCTTCCTGTTTTCCCTCGAGACTCTGCTCGCAGGAAAAAAAAAACGTCTAAATCAGTCTAATACCCTACCTTTTTATCGGTTCCTCCTGTTGGGTCCTTCTCCCTAGCTTACTCCTTCGTTCCAGTTGCACATGGCGGTGGCGCCAGGTTGGATGTGCATCGAAGCCACATAATTAAATCTGTACATTTGTTCACTCAACTTTCCATTCTCGACCCCGGGCCTCTTATTATTCAGACATCAGCCCTCAAGGGGCCCCAAGCTCCCACTTCATCTCTCTTCTCCCTTCTTCTTCTTCTCTCCGTTGCCCTCTGCTTCCAGCTCTTCCCCTTTTTCTCACCTGCTGCTACTACTAGACATTTCTTTTTCTCCGTGAGATCCATCACCGACCAATACTGACATTGGCTTCATCTGAAGGTCATTGACGGTTCCAAACCTGCGAGGTCAAAACCTGAACCTGAATTGGTCTTCAGCTGTACGTCGAGGCAACCAAAGGCCCCTGCTCGACACGCTACCAAAAGGCCTCCCCCAACCACATCCGACAGCAATTGTTACGTGTGGCTCGCCAGTCATCGCCAATTCGCCCAGAGCTATCTCGAGTAAACGCCACCTTTCGCTGTCCGGCGTCGTTGAGCAGTCCAGTAGGCAGGGAAGCACATATCGCAACGAACAGAACGCAGCGTCGCACTCGTTGAGAAGCGCGGATCAGCAACCAGCAAGCTACACTACTACCGAAACCCTGTCACCACTTGCAGCTGCGCTACCTCATCTCCTGAGCGCGCGCGCCTCTGCCTGCTTGCCGCACGCCACTGCCCACCACCAACCAGCACCACCGCTCCACTCACTACCTACGCCTTTGGGCCCTGCCAACAACAATTCGAGCGCGGCAACAAGCAACAGCGACAGCAAGCCGAGGTGTGTGAGAGGTCGAAAAAGAAGGACTGCCTTGCTGTGTACGCCCACCCCAGAAACAAGTCGGACATTTCGCCTGTCGGGTCATGACAATTGGATAGTCGCTGGAGCCAAATACGTAAGGTACCGCAAGTACCTGACGCGACCTAAGGCTTCCCAGCGCTCCGCATTGCGTCTCCTACGTCACCCCGCCCCCCCAATCTGGCCGCTCTGCCCGTGAGTGTGTCTGCTCTTGGCTTGTCGCCCTCACACACACGTCGTGTGCCCTGCGCCCTCCAAACCCTCTTCTTGGCTTGCCGCAACTCTTTTTAGGGGCCGCTCCCCGACCCGCCGTCGTCCACCATGGTCCGCATCATCCCTGGACGACTCAAGTCCAGCTCCTCCCTCCGCAACAGCCGCAGCAGCAGTCCTACGAGAAACAACAGCACCGGCAGCACCAACAGCAAGATGGACTTGAGTCCAAAGGAGAATGGCTTGACCTTGAAGGTCGTCGTTATGAAGGTAAAAATAACTTTGGCATTGTACCGCCGATGCGCGGATCCAAGCTGGGTAGCCAAGACAAGACGCACGATTGCTGACGCTTGATGCATATTAGGCTCGAAATCTTGCCGCAAAAGACAGACGCGGCACATCCGACCCAGTACGAATTCGAATCCAACCCACCCGCGCTTCCGTTATCCATTGTCTAACATGAACTCTTCTAGTACCTGGTTTTGACACTCGGTGACGCCAAGGTGACCACCCACGAAGTGCCCAAGACTCTCAATCCAGAATGGAACGTCATCGAAGAATTACCAGTCAATTCGACCCAGAGCCTCCTTCTCGATGTTATATGCTGGGATAAGGACCGCTTCGGCAAGGACTACCTTGGCGAGTTCGATCTTGCTTTGGAGGAGATCTTCGCCAACGAGCAAATCGAGCAAGCCCCGAAATGGTACCCTCTCAAGAGCAAGAGACCCGGCAAGAAGACCAGCGTGGTCTCTGGCGAGGTCATGCTCCAATTCACCCTCTTCGACCAGTCCAATACAGCCGCTTCCCGCGAACAAGTATTCGAGAAGCTCAATGCCCTGCTCAATCAGTTGCCTGCGGGCTCCCGACAAATCACACCGACCATGACCCCCCTCATCCAGCCGGTCCAGAATATGAGGGTCAGCGGAACAAACCCGTCACCTCCCCTATCGCGCAACCAAACCGACGCCTACCAAGAAGATGACGATGACGATGATCTGGATATCGAAGATGATACTCCCGAGGACGATGATCCCAGCAAACCCGAAGTCGCCGAGAAACGCAAGCGCCGCCTGCGGATCAAGGGCCTCAAGAAGAAGAGAAGAGACCAAACATACGAGTTCAATAATAGTGGAAGCGACGTTGTGGGAGTCATCTATCTTGAAGTTTTGAACATTACGGATCTGCCTCCTGAGCCCAACTCAACCCGGACTACATTTGACATGGATCCTTTCGTCGTTGCGTCACTCGGCAAGAAGACGTACCGGACCAAACGAGTGCGGCACAATCTCAACCCGGTCTTCAACGAGAAGATGATTTTCCAAGTACAGGGTCATGAGCAGACATACTCGTTCTCCTTTACCGTGATGGATCACGACAAGTACTCTGGAAATGATTTCATCGCCGACTGCTCATTACCCATCAGGGAGCTCATTGACAAGGCCCCTCAGGCAGATCCCGAAACTGGTCTGTACGACGTACCCGAACCCCATGAGTATGTCGCCCCTCAACAGCGCCGCTTCAAGAAGTTGGGAATGTCCCGGACATCGTCTTCCCAAAGCTTGAGCAAGGTGCGACCTGGATTGTCGAAGAATGCAAGCAGTGCATCCACAACTACCCAGACCGGAACGACAACGCCTACACCTCCCGCCCAGGGGTCGACTTTGAACCCCGAGTTCCTGTCTCCTGAGCAAGCCCTCGCAGGAGCCGGTGTGCAAACTGCCGAGCTTGAGGCAGACGATGCGGAGTTCCACGATTTCAGCGTCGCCCTGAAGATGAAGGACGCCAAGAAGTGGGAGGCCAAGCACAACCCGGTCCTCTACATCCGCGCCAAATACGTCCCTTACCCGGCTTTGCGACAGCAATTCTGGAGATCGATGCTGAAGCAATACGACACCGATGAAAGCGGCCGCATCAGCAAGATTGAGCTGACTACGATGCTCGACACCCTCGGATCGACATTGCGCGAGTCAACCATTGATAGCTTCTTCCAGCGCTTCCCCCACAGAGCCCAAGGCGATGACATTTCGGACCTGACATTCGACGAAGCTGTGATATGCTTGGAGGATCAGTTGGAGGCTAAGAGCCGTCCACAACTCAGCGTCACGGACAGAATGAAGGGCATGCTGCCGGATGCTGACAAGGTCAAGAATCTGCTCTCTGCTCAAGGCACCAGCAACGTTCCCGGCGGTCTACCGGCAGAAGGGTCTAGCTCATCCGATGGAACCCTCGACGTTCCGGAGCTCAGCACTCCTGGCGAGGAAGGTGAATTGCTCGACCGGGACGACCTGGCTGAGGACCGTGCCGGCGAGGAGCATGTGGTCGAAATCAGAGAGTGCCCTATCTGCCACCAGCCGCGCTTGAACAAGCGCAAGGATACCGACATCATCACTCACATTGCAACCTGCGCAAGCCAGGATTGGAGACAAGTCAACAACCTCGTCATGGGCGGCTTCGTCACCGCTAGCCAGGCCCAGCGCAAGTGGTACTCCAAGGTCATCACAAAGATCTCATACGGTGGTTATAAGCTGGGAGCCAATTCCGCAAATATCCTTGTTCAAGATCGAATCACTGGCCAAATCAACGAGGAGAAGATGAGCGTCTACGTCAGACTGGGCATTCGCCTGTTGTACAAGGGACTGAAGTCGAGCAACATGGAGACCAAGCGAAGTAAGTTTCTGCTGCAGGCAGTTCACACGAAGTTCGACTGACCATGATATTTTAGTTCGCAAGATGCTCAAGAGCATGAGTGTCAAGCAGGGCAAGAAGTTTGATGATCCGGCTTCTAAGGCTGAGATCCCCAAATTCATCGAGTTCCACCGCCTCGACATGTCTGAGGTGCTCCTTCCGACAGAAGAGTTCAAGAACTTCAATGAGTTCTTCTACAGAGCTCTGAAACCCGAAGCTCGCCCATGCTCCGCCCCTGACCGTCCTGACGTTGTCGTATCTCCCGCCGACTGTCGCAGCGTTGTCTTCAACAGTGTGAGCCAGGCGACCCAGGTTTGGATCAAGGGCCGCGAGTTCTCCATCAAGCGCTTGCTTGGTGATGCCTATCCCGAAGACGTGAAGCGCTTTGAGAATGGCGCTCTTGGTATCTTCCGTTTGGCGCCCCAGGATTACCATCGCTTCCACATCCCTGTGGACGGTGTTTTGGGCAAGCCCAAGACGATTGCGGGAGAATACTACACGGTGAACCCCATGGCTATCCGTTCCGCTCTCGACGTCTATGGCGAAAACGTCCGAGTTCTCTGCCCGATCGATAGCCCGACTCACGGCCGTGTCATGGTCATCTGTGTTGGTGCCATGATGGTTGGCAGTACTGTGATTACACAGAAGGAGGGTGCACAAGTGAATCGTGCCGATGAACTCGGCTACTTCAAATTTGGTGGCAGCACGATCGTATTGCTATTCGAGCCGGGCAAGATGAAGTTCGATGACGACCTGACTGACAACTCCAACGGGGCTCTCGAGACCCTGGTAAGTTATATTCTAAAAGCCCTCCTCATCGAAAGTAGCTGCTGACATTACTTGTAGGTTCGCGTCGGCATGTCTGTTGGACACGCTCCCGACCAGCCTCAGTGGGAACCCGACATGCGAAAGGACGCAAAGGACGTCACCGATGCCGAGAAGAAGGACGCCAAACGCCGGATTGGAGGCAGCCTCGGCAGCGAAGAGTCATCCAGCGGCGAAGATACTCCGAACGCCAGCGCCGGCATCACCACGCACGCTGCGTCGGCCATGTAGAGTCGCCGTCTTCGCGTTGCGTGTGAGCGGTTCGGGCGTCATGTGCGTTTTGCCAGCGGTTCCGAATACGAGTACCTATCAGTGACTGGAAGATAGAGGAGCAAGAATAGGTAGACAACAAAAAGGTGTTGGGGAAGAACTGGGTGATTTTCTGGCTCTTCGCATGAGCCGCGTCGAGCTTGTCTCTTGTCGTTTCGCTTCTGCGATGTTGGTGGCTTTCAACAGACACACGACATGGTTGAATGCGACGGTAGTACAGCGATTGCAGCGATTACGGCACCGAGCACAAGGGCACGGGATGTGGGAGAGCACACACATTATTGGATCAGAGGCAACACTTTTTTACGAAATACAGAGTACAGAAAACGAGAGTAGGGAAGAGTCTAGGGTGCGGGGAGGGCCTTGCTTGGCGAGGTGGGGGATCAGCAATGTCGCTCGCTCTCTTTGAATGAATGCAGCAACATGTCAGTTTTCTGTAAAACGGGCCCCCTCCCTGGTTCCTGATGAAGCCAAATGTGATGTGGTGACCAATGATTTGATGCGTCGAGGTCCAAAAGGGAAAGTTTCCTACCTGCAGTGAGGCACCAGATGAGTGCATGTCCCCACGATGTAGGTTATGGAGAGGTGCAACAGCGTAGATTGAGACTCTGGGAGGTTGGGCACCATGCTGGACATGATGGATGACACGAATCGCGTAGGGAACGAGTGAAAGATGGGACATGATCATTCCGTGACCTTCTTCTAGAAGGACCGGACCAGAGTCTAAAGAAGGGGAGAGTTGTTCATGGCATTGATGAAGTCAGGATGGAGCATGTGGAGGGGGTGGTTCCTATTATTAGGCATTGACGAGGTTGAGAGTTTTGACTGGGGGTTTAATTGATTTTTTCTTCCCCTCTTGCTCGCAGCCCTCATCTCTCTTTCTTTCTTGTCTTTTGTTCAAGGATAATACTGGGTTGAATCATTAGGTGAAGTTTTTGGGGGTTCCATGTGATGTTGCCGTGTGCCGACATGGGGATGCCTGGTTGGCTGAGTTGGCCCCTTTTATTGGGAGTGTCAGTGGGAAGGGAAGTTGGGAGTCGCGGATGTGTGTGTTAGGTGAAGTGGAGGAGCGGGGTGGGGTAGAGTGAGTGAGTGATGAGACGGTGGTGGTGATGGGTGATGGTTGGGCCGTAAGTGGGTGACAAAATCGATTTCCTGCTATTCATCTTGATAAATAACCCTTTCACTGCTCATATCATGATTACTATCCTTTTGTATCAAAGTCCTTCTTATATACGTAAAGGAATATACTCTATTTAAAAGATAGTAATCTTAGTGACAATAGTGGTAGAACTGCTTGTTACATGTGTCGAGCGGAAATCGATTTTGTCACCCACTTGGGCCGTCGTATGAGAGGGATGAGGTAGGAACGGTAGAAGTGAGAGTGAGGATGTTGGTGAAGCTGTGAGAATGGCGTGAGGGGTGGGGCACCACCGAAGTGAGTGAGTGAGTGAGTGAGTGAGTCGGTGAGGAGGGGAGCGTGTGGTGCAGGTGGAGGAGGGACTGAGTCGGAGGGTGGGGGAGCAGCAGAGCAGCCATCGTCGACGATTCTATGGCGGTTTACTGTTCATTTGATGAGGAAACTTGTTTGTTGCCTTGAGGGAGCTTAAACGCATTCGGATTAAGTAGACTCGCTAGCCTTTTTCTTCTTGCTTCCTTTTTTTCAGTCATCTTTTGGCATCAATATATAGGGTTTTGAGAGAGTGTGCGGTGCTACTTGAATGGTATTCCCTTTGAAGATGGCGGATGAGGAGGAGGATTGTAGAATGATCAAGAGAAAGGGCAATTTTCACAGTCTCATAAGCACGGGTCTTTCCTAGCTTTTATTCACAATCTCTATTCTGAGTGATGAAGTCTCGCATTGTGTGTACGTGAGGAAATAGTTTAGTATAAGAAGCGTGGTAAAGAACGCCCTTGGGAGAAAGAAGTGGAAGATGCGCCCAAATGGTGTTGATGTACGGTGAGACTTGGTTACTTGGGACATTGAACGATGACCAAAGATTTTATGGATTCGCCATCCATCGGTACACGGTTGATGGGTGGCCCCCCGGTCCGGACAGAGCGATGGCGAGGTCACGGATGAACCGAGTCGGACGCGGGACCCGGTCTACGGAGCCCCTACCCATCGGGAACGGCGACGGTGCACGGTGACGAGCAGGAGAGGAGGTAAAGTGGGATGCTGGATGATTGTTACACCGAGAGAGGAACCCCCTTCTATTATGACGAATGTCCTCCGACGAGATCACGGTGAAGACCTTTTACGTGCACGACGCGGTGCGGCATAGTCACGTCAAGCAGAGACGGACATCATCATGCTCATCAGTGGAGGGGCCCCTCCCGAGTCCCCCCTAGTGTCTGATGTTCAGTCTCAATTCCAATGCAGGTCCGGTCCTCCACCAAGGTAAACCAAAGTGGACTCCCGCCTCTCTCTCAGTCACTCGTCCTCTCTCGCCCAGTCACTCATTCTGGCGTTGGTGTCGCGTGAACTAGGGTGATGGAATTTCCCGTGAGCTCTTCCCAAGTCTTTCCACCCCCTCGTTGCGTCATGGTGGGGCCGGTCAACAGCGGTCTACTGACTCTTCTCTTGACCTGCGATTGTTCCTGGTTTCGGAGTCCGGACTCTTGAAGAGTTGGTTGGAGATGAGATGCACTCAGTGTGTGGCTCATGTGGGGTAGCTTCCCCCCCAAATCGCTCATAGCCTCACACGCAGGACTCCGTACTGATGGTACGCGATAATAATGTACGTAGACAGTAAGGGGGGGGCTCCGCCCGACGATCACTGATTGATAACAGAGAAGTGCCGGCTCGGAAAGGGAGAGGGGGTTCGAGAAGAGTCTGTGTCGGAAGTCGGATGTGGACCTACACGTGTATGAACGGAGTATGGTCCATGGAAGGGGGCTGAAGTTGGTTAGGAGGAAACTTGGCACGTGAAGAGGGTCATTCGGTTGTAGACGGGGCGTTTTGTGAAGAAGAGATAGCTTGTGATGACATTGGACTGACTTTGTAGATTACAATGTTTCAATCACAGTTGCCAAGAATTGCTGGCTGCAATGGCACAGAAAGAAGTTGATGTGAACAATTTATTTGGGGGTATCTATTCCATACACGTGAGCCAGTGTTGGAGGCTCTGCTAAAAAAGAAGAACAGGAAAAAAAGGTACAGAATGCAAGGCAAGCAGACGCAGGCAGAAAGTAGGAGGGGTGGAGGGGGCAAAGCAAAGATGGAGACGAATGTCGTAGCTTTGCATGTCTCTCGAACGATATTCTTCCCCCTTCCCCTTCACATCCCACCTTCCTCCGCGTGCCCCGCCGGCGATACAATCATGGAGGGGGGCCTCTCAACTCACTCCCCACTGGCTGCTGATGGTACGAGCAGCAACTTGCAAAGAGGAATTGGTACGGAGCCGAGAGTACAAAAGAGACAAGAAAAGTGGACTTGATGTGATGCCCGACCCTGATGGCGTGACGGAGGAAACCTTTTCGGATTTACGTCCCTTTCCTCCCACCCCCACCAAAAAAAGTGCCGGAATATGAGGTGAATGTTTGATCGATTGTGTTGTGTGCGCCGTAAACTCCCCGATGCTGTAAATCCGGGAAACTCTCAATCGAACAAAGATAGAATTGAGCGTTTGGCTGTGGTTCTCTGTAAAAGTCCCGCTGTTGATAAGGCACCCGAACGCGAAAGCGACCGAGTCAGCGGCGCCGGTTGGAGGTAACGTCGGCACGGTGGGGTGGACTTGAGCTCGCATGCTGCAAGTTCTAGCTTCGAAAGATTGATGTTGTTGTTTTTGAATTCCAATGTCCTTGACGCCTTTCCGGTTTCCGTGACTATCGTAAATGCGTACATGCAGGTAGCCCAGTATCCCAAGTTCAGATGATGTGTTGCTTGGTCCAACTGGATAAGAGTGGTTGTGGAGAGCTCTATAAAGACCCCAAGCTGAAGCTTAAAGCTTCATGCTCACGGCCCAAGAGCCGACCGAGATGCGTACAGTCGCCATCTATTTGGGTCCGCGCCACGAGGAGGCAGATGGTGATCGAGACATGGGAACGGTGGTCTCGCTGCGGTCGCTGTCCATGGAGCGCTTCTCAGGAGAAGGGCTGCGAGGGAAGTAGGAGGTCATGCTGGGGGCCTGGACGCCGGGGGAGGGCAGGTCGGAAGGCGAACGGCGGGTTTCGCGCCATGAGGCGTAGATGGACTTGCACAGGTGTGCGGACATGGTGTATGTGGGCGACATTTTGGAGTTGGTGTGTGTGTGGTTGTCGTGTAACGAGACTTGTTTGTAAGTTGTAGGTTGTGAAGAGACGGAGAAGCTCTCAGATGGTTGTAGAGAGGTGGTCGCGTGCTTTGTATAAGAGGTTGAGTGAGGCTGAGGGCAGGTTGGATGTGGAGTTATCGACACGCGGCTCTGGTGGCAGAGGGAGAGCAGGATGGTGGTAATAGGGCTTGATCGGTTATTATTAGAATCCTTGAAAGGGAGAATGGGAAACAAGATGATAGAAGGCAAGCTATGAGGGGGAGCAGACGGGCTGCATTATATTTGGGCTGGAAGTCGTGGGCAAAGAGACGAACTGCGCGGTAGGCGTGGACGGTGGGCGTGGCACCAGACCAGGCACCAGGGGGACCCTTTTTTTCGCTTCTCCCCTTCCTCCACTTTCTCCTTCTGACTTGTACCACAGTAGGACGATTTGTACGAATGCTACAGGTAGGTACTGCGTACATTTGTGATGTATCTTTACGGCGCGCGCGCTCCCACCTGTCAACTTGGACCCAAATCGGCGGACGGGGGGGCACGAAACATGCGATTTGGCGTCAAAAGAGGCAGAAAACGGACGAGGGCGGGCATGGGGAGATTGAGTGTGACTCGCTGCGCAGAGGGAACCACCCACTAACATGGCCCGGCGAGTTCCCTTCACACCCCTCCCTGGTGGGACGAGCAGGCAACGCAGGCTGGCGGCACCTTCGACCCTTCAACTCCCCCCCACTGCCCAAGAGGATAGCCGCCACAGTCGAGATTCACCAATTAAGAGCTCAGAAGAGTGAGATTGATGGCTTCTAGCCAATGGAGGCTGAGGCAAAGTAAGCAGACGGGAGAATCTGGTGCAATCTGACGGGAGGAAGGTGGGAGTGAAAACGTACGATTCGAGGCCTGTGGCTGTGCTAAATCATCATACGGACGGGTGGGCGTTGGTGGTCCGGAACTTGAAAGGGCGGACGGGTCCCTGTGGACGCACCAAGTACTCCGTACCTACACATGTATCCCGTAAGGTAAAATAGGCTGGGCTGACCATTTTTAGCCACGGCGCATCATCTGGTTCGTCGACCTGGCCCTTGAAAGAAAGAAAGTGTGACTGTATATGGCTGGATGCCGTTGCTGATCCTTCTGGCGGGGATTTGGTTCTTAGTTCGACGTCGGGTACGAAGTACGGAGTACGTGTGGGATAATGATCTGTTTGTTAGCTGTTGATGGATATTGAAGAGCGTTGAGATCTCGCCAGGGTGAGGTCTTGTCCGCTTCCAAACTGCTCACTTTGGGACATTGCCATTTCGGCCCTGGCAAGATACACGATGACATCTTGCTTCAAGATGATTATCCAGCAAGAGTGACGACGGAGAAAGAGGGGCATATTCGTTTGACTCTTACCACGATACGTCACTGCTTGCGTGCTAGAGATGGGGAATGAGCAAGCAAGACTGACAACAGCCACAACAGGTACCTACGCACAACTACGCAGCATGCCAGGATCTTCATGATTGGCCAGGGTTCACGACCA